AGCAGTTGGGAGCCAGGAGGCGCATTGCAGCTGGAGCGGAAGATTGAAGACTCAGCAAAGGTGAAGAGTTGCAGTGTTCACAAAGGCTTCGACGAGGACGTCGAAGAGATAAGTGGGGGAGAATGTCACGGACAAACTTTGAAACAGGATGTTTGATGTAATGCTTATATCTGTCCGTGTCTGTTGGCATGTTCATGCCTTGTAAAACATGTAGAGGGGCAGCCGAAGGCTTATAAGTCCCATTTTAGTTGGGTTGGTGGCTTCTTTAGGCTTGTAAATAAAGGTTGTGTCATGTGGACACGTGCGAGAGCTTTTCGGTCTGTAATGGATCATTTTACCCTTTGTTGTGCCACTGTTCAGAGCTTGTAAAGTCTGTTTGTAATTTGCTTTGTCTATGAAGTGTTTTTCGGACATGTTTGCTTGTGGATCCCGTTTGAGGCGTTCTCTTTAACCCGTTCTCTCTTTTGTTGGTCCTAAGGGACAATGGGAGGCTTCGGGGAGGCTGACCTTTGCGGACGGACGCGCAAGGGTGCCGCACGACTTAGGCAAAACCAGCTAAGTCCGTGTCAAGACGGCGAAGGCGAAGCGAAGACACTTCGCGGGTCCACCGGGACGTTGTCGACGAAGATGACGGCGCGGGATAGGAATCGCGTCGGAGAAAAGCAGCGGCGAGACCAAAAGCAAGAAAAGGGGGTCGTCGTGGCGGAAGGCGGCGATGGCAGCGGGGGATCTGGACTTACCGCTCACGGGAGCTTCCCATCGGCAGAGTTCGTCGATCTGGACCGTTCGATGGACCGCTCCAGATTGAGTTGAGGATCCAGGATTCTAGTGGATGAATCGCTGTTGTTGGTGGGGGCCCATCTGATCTCTTATTCCCTCTCCGGTCTTCTCTCCTCTCCACAACATCATCCACGGGAAGAAAGACGGAGGAAGCAATGGCAGTATGTATATCGAGCAAGTCAATGACTCTCCACCATTGGTTGCACAAGTGTTCCTCTTCGGTCGGTTCAGTATCGGCAGCTGTAGCAGTAGCTGTTGCATGGAAGAAGGGGAAGACGAAGAAGCTATGCTTACTTCCCGTGAATTGCACCCCCTTGGAGCAAAACCCCAAAACCGAACAAGAACATATGACAGAGGAGGAGGAGGAAGAGGTCAGTTCTTTTTCTCCATGAATTTGTACACAGGCTGGCAGTGGCTGTTTCTAATTGATCAAATTGATGGTTTTTAACTTTGTTATCGAGAAAATTAGGAGTATGGAATTCAATATATGTTCTGTTTATGGATTATAAATTGGAAAAGAGTGCAACAAATTCATTTGGCAATTACATACCATACATTCATGTTCCTGCCATTTTATTATTGTTCCTCTTTCTTTGTTTTTCTTCTCCTCCTTATTTCCTATAGCAGTTCTTTAGGTATGTATCCTGTGTTAAATATCTATATTCATTTGACAACTTCACAAGATTGGGTTGTAGCTGAAAGCATGACAAGATGTTGTTGGAGTTGAGTTTTGGTTCTTTTAGCATACCAAGAACTTGCCACAATGTTGATTTTATATATATATATATATATATATATATATTGCTGCATGTTATTGTTGGAGTTGAGTTTTGTTGAGGGCTACTAGTCATATTAAGAGCCATCAAATATTTTCCATTATAAAGTTGTCTTTAGGTCTTTCTCTATCTCTTCTTTGACCACTGACTTTGAATTGCTACAAGCAACCTAAACCATACTTAATCATCTGTGAGCTCTTTGGACGAAAACAATCCATGACTTTTTCCAGAGTTCTTCCTTTAGGTTTATATTTAGTCCATGGAGATTGTTACTCCGTGGAAGTAAAGCCTGATGGATTGAGATGGTATAGGTAGTCCTTGACCATTATTTATTCTGCAGTTACAACTGCTAGTTGGGTTCTAGTTCTGTTAAATTGTTCCCTTTTCTTAGGTAACTATTACAACTCAAAATTGACCCAAATGATATGTTCACTTGACTTTTAAAATCTGCAAAAACACGAGATTTATGGAAGAACTAAACCTAGACTCAGTAGAAAGGAATGGAAGATTAAAGCAATACCGAACTTAAACCTAAGCTTACATTTGTTTGGAGGCAACAATATGAAGTCAATTAACAAAGCTGAACGATGAGAGAAGCAGGAAGCTTCATGATACATAGATAGGTTATGTTTAAAGGCTCACAAAGTCAAAAGGAACACATTTGAGTTAGAAAGGTTAAGCATGTAGTACACTGCTTATGGAGTAAACATTCTTTTCATGCAAATACATAAATCTTGCCTTGTATCAATGTGAACCTTCCACGTGGATCAGAACAATTTGGTTACTTAAAACTCCTTTACTATAATTCCTTTAACAAGACAACTCCTTTACTATAATTCCTTTAACAAGACGAACATTTTAGACCATGCATTTCAAGATGACTTGTAGTGAGATGGGGTGAAAGATTGTGTATAGGAAAAAACGTTCTTGGGAATTCTTTTTATTGTCCTTGTTCAAGATATATCTTCATCATAGAGAATAGCATCTTGGATTAGCAATTCAATGATCCTTGCTTACATCATGCTTCAGAGAGAAGGCTATAATGTCATCGTGCTTTTTTTTTTTCCACATCCTTTCTTTTCTTTTGAGTTTCTGTTCCTTATCCTTTTGTTTTTTCTATGGTTGTTCAGTAAGACCACAAATATCTCCATAACCCAAATTTTCACCTTACAAGTGTATCATCTTGGTCATCGTATAATACTGGCTATTAAACTATGAATTAGGAATTCAGAATTCTGTGTGAACCCTGCAATGGCAGAGGATGGCTGCTTTGTGACTTCTGTAAAGGCAAGAAGAACAATGTGAAGGCTGAAAACAATAGAATCTACCGCCGTTGCCCAACATGTAAAGCTGTAAGTTCTTGAAAGCATTTGTTTAAGTTGTATCTTGATAATTGCAAATTAAACATCATGATACTTGAATCGATCCGAAAGTTCAAATTGAATACACAAGTAAACAGAGGACCTATGACCTTTTGTCTTCTTGCAGGTTGGTTATGTTTTGTGCTCAAAATGCAAAGTCTTCAAGTGTATCACCTTCCCAGATTATTCTGATGGCAAGCTGACTGCCTAAGTCTAATATAACTCGACTCCAGTTATATATTCTTTTCTTTTCTTTTTTTCTTTCCTGAGATTGGTTTCCCTTTCAACATGGAAACCAGATATAGCAGGAGTAGATTGTTGTGCTTTCATCAATATCCATGAGGCATTTCTTAATCTATAATCCTTCATGCTTAAAATGAAGGCGATCTTACTGCAAGACTACTCATGTTGAAATCAGGAGGAGGCGGTTCTAACATTGCTGGTGAGTATTGAGAAATTGCTCCACTTTTTGTGTCAGTTGTTTTCAATGATCAGTTGCCACCATCGTAGCCTTTGGTGGAACCTTTGATCCACCATGTGGATCCCATTCTATAGTTGATGTACTACAGCTTAATTTGCATATCATTGCAAAGCAAAATTTTCAATGAAGCATTTCGAGAATGATTTATTACAAATTTTATACCCATAATTTTCCAAGATATGTTCTTTAACTTTAATTTTTTTGTGTCCTCCAAGAAATTTTATGTGGTGCCGAAAGATTCTGGCATTTTGTTGATGGTATATATGTCTTTCTTCCATTCACATCACACTTAATTTTGACTCGCCTGGATTATGCAAAGAATGCCTTAATCATTAAAGTATCTCCTTAAAAATATATTGATTTAGATTTATTTGTATATTTATAAATATAAATACTTTACCATTGATACATAGTTACCGGTTTATATATGTTTAATTTAATATGAAAACTCTAGTTTCTTTTTTCTTTCTTTTTAAGTTTCTTCAATCAAATAAAATAATAAACTTCGAACATTCAGTTAATTTGGATATATATCTTGGCAAATTAAGTTGAAGTGGACATCAACTCTTCATTGAGTTTGATATCTATGGGAAGACAAAGGATTCAACAAAAGACTCCTATAAAAACTGCATCCATCTAGAGCATGTTCGATAAAGATCCTTATGATGTCTTTGTTAGTGAAAAATCTCGAAGGATTCAAGAAATAACTAAGAGTATTCGTATCTACGGGAAGACAAAGGATTCAACGAAAGACCCCTATATAAACTACATCCATCTAGATCATGTTCGACAAAGATCCCTATGATGTCTTTGTTAATGGAAAATCTAGAATGATTCAAGAAATAGCTAAGAGTATTCGTATATATGGGAAGACAAAGGATTCAATAAAAAACCCCTATAAAAACTACATCTATTTATAGCATGTTCGACAAAAATTCCTATGATGTCTTTGTTAGTGAAAAATCTCGAAGGATTCAAGAAATAGCTAAGAGTATTTCTTAGATAAGGGTCAAGGATGCACTTAAGCGCCTTTTATAATGTATCGAGGTAGAAGTGAGGATTAACCCCATGGTCAATTACACAAGGTATCCGACAGCAAGTGAGTGACCCATGGAATAATCAAATATTGTAATTAAGAGATAATAGTCCATGCTAATGTAAGGGGCAGCTGGCTATCATTCTAATCGAATAAACCACTCTATCGGTGTCCTCATCATTGATGAGTCATCATCCCTATAGGATCATTACTTGGTCATCATGTCTATCAGGTAAGGTATACGGATGGATATGATCTGATATCAAATTACCTGCATGCCGAAGCCCCCATATCATTTACCCCCATCGGATTTTTACATAGATTGGTTTGAGACACGACGTCTTATTTGGCGGACTATTTGATCACGTCATCTATTGTATGTATGGATGCACTGACTTCACGTCGCTTGGTATGTACTTGGTTGACTTTAACTAAGTCATTGTAGTTATGGCCAAATTTGTTTGTACTGTGATCTGAATCAGTGGTTGGATTTAACTATGCTGTCATCAAGGGATACTTAATAGTAGGCTGTATTGTGGTCCAATGAAGTCTTCATTAATGGACTCATTATGGTTAAATTCGATTTCGTCGAGGAATATTTTATGATCGAGTTCGATTGTCTTGTTACCCGAAAATACTTTATAACCCAGTTAGATCACCTGAAAATATTTTATCAGGAGACATATGAGGAATATTTTATGAATATTTTATGATCGAGTTAGATTGTCTTGTTACCCGAAAATACTTTATAACCCAGTTAGATCACCTGAAAATATTTTATCAGGAGACATATGAGGAATATTTTATGATCGAGTTCGATTGTCTTATTACCCGAAAATACTTTATGGCCCAGTTAGATCACCTGAAAATATTTTATCGGGAGACATGCTTTATTGTTTTATGATCGAGTTTGATCACATCATTATTTGATTGTGATTGTCAAATGTAAACATATTATTTTATGCCAAAAGTCTGACTAACGCTACAATGGGTTACAAGAATTCATTATAATTCTTAATAACTATTATTTAATAACTAATTAAAACCTTAATCACATTAACATTCCTTAAAAAATCATTATAATTATAAAAATATTAACAACATTTTTTATAAAAATAATCTTTTCGACACAAGTTTATCTCATTGCCAGCATAACCACTTTATATGAAGCTTCCAGAGGATGTTCTCTTTTTGGCTCTTTTAGCAGTAGGAAAGAATGGGATACTGCAGCCCTCTTCTCCAAGTTTAGTTGGATGTATTGGTCATTACCGCTGCTGAGATGAGCGACTAAACATCATTTCCTTCAATAATCACAATAATAATATAATAATACTAGTAATTGTAACTTTGAACTGCCATAATGAAATGTTCAAGCATCGGGTTGGAGTATTAATATAACAGAGGAGTAGCTAAGCATGGGGTACAGGTTGGCGTCCAGGAAATGGGAGTACAGTTTGACAGCCGTGGCTCTGTCAGGGACATCATCGGAGAGGAAGTCGTAGGGCACAGGCTTACTCGTGTCCACCAGCGGCTCCCATCGATAGCCCGAGCGTTCTGGTAGTGTGACTGTCACCGGCAGATGGCTTGTGTTGAAGGCCACATAGATCTCTCCCTTCAATGAATCACTCTGCTCTTACATCAAGCAACAGCAAAAAAAGTCAGTTTTCGGAGTCATCATAGGTTAGTTGGTTCTTGGAAAAAGTGTACAGGATTGAATTATATACCATGGTAAATGCGACAAATCTGCTGGTTTCGGACCAGTCGGGAGTCTTGGGCTGGTGGCCGTGCCATTGGAGTCGCTCCGCTGTTGGGAATTCATCCAGGCCAAGGGATTCACATTCGCTGCAATTTGTGGTTCAACAAAACACACGTTTAATGGCCCATGTTGGATGGATGCTTTCGTCAAGAGTTGGAGAAGGGTTGTCAGGATGGTGCACTCACTAGCGGAACTTGATCATGAGTCGACAGAAACGGTAGAAATCAGATGAGGATTCCTCCTTCCTATCCCAACGGAAATAGTTGAACTGTGGCACATGAAGTTCATGCATCAAACTGATAACAGATGTGAAGATTAACAACAACAAAGTGCAAGAGAATGACGATAGATGCTCACATAATTATCATGGCAGTATGTGTTGTTGTTTCCTCCTTTTGTATGGCCATATTCATCGCCCATGTAAATCATTGGCACTCCCTGCAGCAATAAAAAGATTTCGGACGTCAGTAAGGTAGCATTGGTAAAACAGTTGTTGGATGCTTAAACTTGTGACGTACACTAAAGTAACCAGGATTGTTGAGATGGATGGATGAATAATTTGGTAGCAGATGAATAAACCTGAGATGTTAAGTGTGTGGGAGACGAAAAGCTACAAAACTACTGAATTCAACTGTGGACAAAATGTCTGCAGGTGGATAGCATTTTATCACTAAATCCCGTTCCACTATCTTGACATTTTATATATTTTTTATCCACCTAAAAAGGTATATGCATGTAATTAAATCAATAACAAATTCCTAGATCTACGACTTTCAGAGAGACAGTTCTTGTACTCAACAAAGCAAGAATAAGTTCAATAATCGATGCCTTTTAACACTACAGATGGTAACTTCATATCTCGAGAAATCCAATAGTATCTAAACTATTAAGACTAATACTTACTTGGGAAACCATGAGGCAAAGGAAAAAATTCCGCATTTGTCTTTTTCTTAATCTTCTTACGGTTATGCTTGCAAACTCCCCCTCCTGCAGAGTGGAAAATTAATATTCTGGAAATTAATCTGTGGTAGACCATAGAGGTAGGGCAGCAAGTAAGCATATACAATATTATACTCTCAATCTTCATTAATTAAATTGGAAATACTGTAAACTTTTCTCCTAATTCACTTGTAATCTAATGTGCAGAACTTTCACTCCTCATATCAAAAGGGAGTAGCAGTCATATGTAAGACGCAAATAAAACCAAAAAAAGGAATTCAACTGTCAAAAGATCCAGCAATGCAGGAAAATGAATTTTGCTGGAATGATACAAAGGATACAGAATTAAAATGCTCATATAAATTTACCTCTCCACAGTTCCAGCTAAGATTATGATTCTCCCCATCTCTGTTATCTTCACCATTTGACAAGTTGGACTTGTTATTGTATGTAACCAGATCAGCTAAAGTAAATCCATCATGTGCACAGATGAAGTTGATGCTATGCCACGGTTTTCTTCCTCCATCCTGATCCAGAATATCAGTGAGCAATATGAGTCAAATTAGAAAAACTACTTGTGACTGGACACTATGAAAAACACAGAATCCAATGATCATATAGAAATAAATTTCCTGAAGGACGTAAATATAATTCTGCAGACTAGAGAACCATGGTAATAGATACCTTCTATAGACCACAAAATGGAATGTTCTTAACAAATAAGGTGTATAATGAGTGACTTTGTTGAAACTTAAATAACTTCAGCATCTTACCAAAATTGGATGGGATCAGTGGCAGGAAGTTTACTTAATTGTATCCTATACTTGCCTGGAATCATCTACAGATTATTTTGACCCGCTTTCTGAATTCTTGAATTAGCATTCTTACTGTGCATATATTGGTAATTCTTTTCTGGCTTGAAAATTAATGTGTACATAAATCACGGTTTTGACAAAATGTAGTACATGCTAGTTATCGAACTAAGCCAGGAAATACAGAAGGTCAAAGAATAAGAATCCTAGAGTACAAAATTTAACTAACAAATTTAATTCACATTCGCTGCAATTTAACTAACAAAATGTAATACATGCTACTTAAGGAGCTTGATGAAAGTTGCAATAAGTCATGAATTTACTGAAATAATGTTCTGTGGCTTCCAGGTTAGTTTATCTTCCCTTTGTGTTTTCTACAAATTAAATTAGAAAAAAGGTTGATAAGTCAGATAAGGAAAGGTTATGCATGTAAAAGTCATACAATTACCTGGTATAGATTTGGGCTACCACAAAGACACTGCGCAAAAGCTCCAGCAAATCCATCGGTACCCTTGATGAATTGCCTCACTATGTCACGATACTGAGAAATTGCATCAAGTAGATGTTAGCACTAATGCAAACCAGATACGACAAACAAGGGTTACTGTAAGGCCATAGCAATTAAGTGTGCCTAGGAATGCATCTCATGTGTGTCAACTCTTTTGCAGTATCTCTAACTTTCTGACAGACACCGGTTGATATTGGAGAGACAATAGCCAGGTAATAGCCCTGCGAGTCAAGTTTTACCATGTTGATGTTCAGCATGCCTGTGAGGCCAAATAAATTCAAATAAAATGTCCTTTAGTGTTTGCTATCTTCTAGTTTCAGAGTAACTTGCTTATTGTTGAGAAGAAGTCAACATTGGCTCCAGCCTTTGTTTTGGGCAAAATCAATCCTAAACCATTCTCAAGCATCCATATCTCTTAATATTCTTGAAATATAATGACTGCATGCTAACGAGAGGGTCTAATGGACATGCACTCTGAAGCAAATTCTAATACCTATGTAACTATTTGTGGCCTAGTATAAGCTAATAAAGAAACTTATAAGGGTATGATGCCTTTTTTTTCCTATTTGAAGAGAAGAGCATAACTCTTTAACTTATCAGTATACCAATATTTCTCAGTCTTAAGGTTACAGAGTACTCCATTGGAACTTTGTTCAAAATGAAGACTAGTTTTTCTTTCTTCTTGTTCTGTCAAAGTAGTTACTCTGGAACTTAGCTTTCTGTCATGATATAAAATATCTTAGTATAGACAAGACCATTGTTCCCAAATGCGCTATTTGGTAATGTAAAAATCTTCACACCTTCAGAAGCTCTTGATGAAACATTGAACTATATAAAAGAAGATAAAGTTCCAACAAACCTGTCCATTCCACTCAGACCAAATACCCGAGTGTGGAAAGCTACCAACTTGGTAAAGGCCTCCAGCATCCCATGCTTCAGCAATCAACTATTTGACAGAATTTTGAAATAAATTTGAATAGCATCAAAAGACGGGAAACAAAGTGGCTTAATTGAATGTAAATGATCATCAATCTAATAAGATAAAGTGCACGATCAATAATAAAATTACTCTGGAATATGATAGAGAGAAAAGGTCATTATGACCATCACAAACAAGTTAGTAGATCTAGGTTTAGCATGTATGCTTAGTGCCCATAAAAAACAAACAAATACTATTATTAAGTAACCAATCAGCTAATTACCTTGACTTTGCAAAGAATTGGATCATTGCTGATCATTTCAATAACTGGAGGACCACCAACAGGAGTTCCAGTTGTCACCATATCACCTTCTATGGGATTTCCATATACATTCACAGGATCCCATAGGCTTCATGAAACATTTTGAAACATGAGATGCTATGTAAAACAGGATAGAGTTAAGCAGTGCAAAGAGGTCAACCTGCAACTCCTGGTCATAATAGACGCAAGATCAAAGCGAAATCCATCAACATGCATTTCTGTAACCCAATATCTACAACAGAAAGATAATCAATATCATGGTGCAGTGACAGGTGGAATAAAAGAATGATAAATATTTTTAATCCTGTTAGAGATGGTCAAAAAAGAAAGGAATTCTACTCCCTAATCTATGTTCTCTGATTTTATCAGATGTATCTACAAACTAAATTATCCACAGGAACAGCATTCCAGAAATTGCATTTCAGAAAGTTGTAATTTTTAATAGGTAAGATTCTAATGAAAATCCATTCTCATGTCTGCAACTTCAACTTTTGGTTCACCTACAAAATCTGCAGAATTATGAGGACTTCCTACCATGAAAGTTTTCTAGTGATCACAACCTCTATAATTTCTAAATGGTCTTTATATGTAATATACTAAACATCAAAGGGGTTATATTGTTAATAATATACTGAAATTATCTCCTTAAAAGGAAATACAATACATCAACTATGCACAGGAAAATGTAAGCAAACAGATTACATAGCAAAAGAGAATAACAGTTAGTAAGACCTCCTCAAAGGAGAATTTAACAATGTGAAACAGTGGAGAACAAGGAATGATAAGAAGCCAGAAGATCAAAGAGTAGATGAAGAGGAAAATTTCAGGGACTTATATAATGGGTCATTAATGGAATTGAGCCAATTGACATCAACTAGAGCAAGCAAATTTTAGGAGAATGCAATAAAAATATATAAGCAACTGCTACACTATATCAGAAATTTCATAACTTTAAGAATCATTCATCCTGTCCAATTGTGTATTGCAGATAAGAACATAATTAAGTTGCAGAGTTTGAAAAGGATAAACCTGTCTGTCTACCTTAAACAGTCAACTATAAATTGACGAACCACCGGGTGATTACAGTTGAAGGTGTTACCACAACCTGAATAGTTGTAAAACTCACCCTGTCAAAAAATAAGGCATCTAAGTAGTGAAAATATGGTTGATCTTAAATCAGCACAAATGTTAATTCTTCTAGAGAATTTTTCTCATATTCTGTTTCACAGGTTCTGGTAAGAAGGAAATAAACAATGTCATTGTGGAAGCAAACCTTTGGTGCAAGCATATAATATGTGCTGTTATCAATGCCCCTAAATGAAATCATAGGACCATTCTCATTCCCTTCAGCTGTATGATTGAAAACAACGTCCAAAAGTACCTGAAGCAAATTGTATCAGAAAAATGTTGGATGCTATACAATACTAAGTAATATGAGTGTCAACGTGCTGATTACTTCAATTCCTCGCTTATGAGCTTCTCTAATGAGAGTCTTGAATTCATTTATTGCATCACGGCCACAGTTAGCCAAACCAGCTGATGAATATCTTATCATGGGTGAAAAGTAGCTGACAGTAGAGTAACCCCAGAAGTTCAGCCTGAGATAAAAAATAAACATTTTCAAACAATGAGAATTCCCAAGATCTAGATGGGCAAATATAGCATTGAAGAAAAACATTTAAGTTATTTAGACAAATAACTTGTGAAGAAAAACTGGCAAACATGAAATCTTAAAATGCAAAGTTTCACCCACTTGAAAAAGCTCTAACAATGAGACTCTTTAGATGACGATACCAGATTAGGAATGTTTAATTTAAATTATCGAACAAATTAAATCAAGGAGCTGCAAATTGAGAATTACCAAATGGAAGGTTAAAGAAAACACATTTACAAGGCCAGTTTTCATTTTGAATGTATCAAGTGTTACTCAAGCTCAGTTTAAGAATTCTTAGTCATGGCCCTACTTAAGAAGACAATTTTTATCGAGAAAGTAGGATAATATATGCAAAGGAACTAATCCACTTTTTTCTGCATGCAGATAAAATGTCTTCTCCACGGTGGATGCATTTTAGAGCACATCTAATTGTACCACACTGTTTGCTTAAATAATAAATTATTTATAACTTACGGCAGTCAAGCTTACATACTTATTCTCGCCAAGAACAGAATTGTAGCTGAAGTACTCCAGCTCGTTGAACTCATGACATGGCATTAACTCTATACAGTTGATTCCCAATTCCTGTAGAGTTTTCAATGATCAGCCAAAGTTCAGAAACTAGTTGTAAGATATAATCTGTATGATAATGTACTTCAAACAATATGATGAAGTGGTCAACAGTGTCAGTTTCGGCATCAATCCTGTAAACCATATAATTAAACACACAGCCTACTTTTCATATTTTAAGAAAATCCTTCAAATAAACACTCTTTTTTTGGCAAATACACAAGTGTTGTGCATTGTAGATGGAGATATTTTTGCAGGTTTTAATTTATACTCCATTTTAAATAGTAGTGAAACCACTAATTGCCTACAACTGTCATGCTTAAATATAAAATTCAGAAGCTTCAAGACACCAAAAAGTTTACCCCCCCCCCCCAGATGTGTATAACTTACATAAGTACTGGTTCCATCAGTTAATAATTACTGTTAATGAAGGCAAATATGGCACAAAATTACCACTGAAAATTTAGTGTATCCATGAATGTTTATAACATTTCTTAGTGTATAACATCCATTTCTAAGTGTATCCAACTTTGTACTCTTTCATAGAAATGCAGGAATGTCACCAAGTTTTTCTCACATATTAATGCTGACTGCTGAATCCACTATACTGTTTAAAATAGGAGGGATTTATTTAGTAGTTATACCCTGGAAGTGGGAGAAAAGAAATGCTAAGATTATAATATTGAAAATAGAAGCTCAAGGACCAACATGATGAGCTTGGGAAAAAAAAAAAGATAAACAAGATAAGATAAAAGTAATGTATGCTATTATTCTCATTTAATCCAAGATTTTCAAGAAAAATCTATCACATGCTTTCTTAATGTAGAATACTTTCAGTCTGTTTAAGTTCTTCAGTTTCTTGTTTTAATAATTTGACCCAATTCTGTTGCTAAGCATTTAAGCCTCGCCATGTTCTACTATGAAAAATCTTATATGGCATAACATGTCAGTTAGGTTATCTAAATCAACACCTGCCAAGTTATGATCATCTTTGAAACTTCAAGGTATAAAATTGATAAAAACTTTTGTGTATTATTAGAACTAGTTTATATGTATGCATCCATTTGCATATTAAATTAATGACAAAAAATTAACACTCATAATATGTGACACAAGAACAAAGGCATAGACCAGCTTTACATAAATATATAAACCTAAACATTAACCATAATATATACCTTCAAATGGTCCAATTTTTTTATTGCGCTAATGTAGGTTCCAGGTGAATCGATCTCACTAGAGTCATGCTTTGTAAAGCCGCGCACATGCATCTCATAAATTATAAGGTCCTTTTGAGGGTACTGCAGAGGTAAATCTCCCTCCCAATCGAACTGAAAATAGAAAAGACAGATTTAGAAGACAAAGGTCAAAACTAAGAAAATAAAAGAATTCTTTTTATCAACTTAGATGCATAATGTAATAGACCAAAGCACATTAACATTAAGAATATTCATGAAAATGTAAGCTCGAGAAATAAAACATATTCAGAAAATTGAAATAATGGAAATTTAAATCTCAATCATATGGTTTTACCTGTCTGATAAAGAATATTGAACAACTATGCCCAGGCTGATCTGAAATTCAGCTTACCAGTACCACTCACCTAGTCTGATCCAAAACCATGCTTACCGTCCGAGAAGCCTACTGGTGTTCAACTATATTGAATGGTGAGCGTGAGCCTACCGCTTGGCGCTCGCTACCTGTTCCCAACCCTTCTTTTTTCCGTCTCTTTTTCTTCTTCCATAGCTCTACTTCTTCTCCTCCACATCATTTTGCTGCTTCCTCCCTGCTGCTGCCATTGTTACACCTCTTTGCATATCCACATTGTGCCACCTCACCTCCTCCTCCCCATTCTCTCACTCTTTTTCACTCTCTTTGTCAGTATATCTGGCACTGATCAGCACCAACCTGTATCAATACTCGATACATTGTACAATTCTGATACCACACTGTTGCAGCCATCGACTGGTATTGGAATCAGTTAATCCATGATGGAAATCATGGACCTAATTTCAATTTAAAGAAAAAATATAAATACAGGTAGATTATATAGGTTAGCATTGTAGCTTTTGAGTATCATAACCATATTATATTGGTTAGTTGTTAGCTCACATTGCTCTTGCTAATTTAGAACGTGTTATTTTCTGGACACTTGTTCATGTCCTGGCTACTCACTCAAGCGTAATAGCTTGGCCCAAAAATAGACAAGCTTGGACAAGAAAACACCTAGATAGGACCAAGCTTGAGCAAGAGTAACAAGGCCTGGTCAAAATTTTGGCCAAGCATATACTGGCACCTTTATAACCTAGGCCAGCCCAGATACCATATATTGCATATACTAAATATATGTATATATACAAGTATATCAACTTCATAAAGCAAGCAAACATCAGAAAGAAAGTTGGTAGAAGGTTTATCTGATTGGTAAGTAAGCCAAGTCTAAATCCCACTTTTACATAACAATTTTTTAAAAAAATTTCTAGCTACATTGCTTTTGGGGGTCAAGTGGGAGAGCTGGCAGTCTTGGGTTTTTAGTTCCAGACAAGTCTTACACCCATGAAAATATGGAATATCTATCAAACTAAGATTTTTTTGGAACTGTACTAGAATAAAGAAACATATATAAACATAAAGAATAAATCTTTAACAGAGTCAGCTGACAATCAAGACTAAAACATAAAGCACCTGATGAGGATTCAAACAATTGACCAGACATGGACATGGAATGGCTAAAGCTGCTACTGCTTGTGACTAATGAGATACAGACAAGTCTCTGATCAGTTGCATTCTAACAACGTCCAGGCTGATTCATACAGCTGGTCATGTGCCTTCTTCAATATCTTCTGGCTGACCAATTAGTTACAAAGAGTCCACCACATCTGGACAGGGAATGGCTCAATCTTCTTCGGCTTATGCCTAATTCATTACATAAAATTCCTTGATCAGCAATATTATTAAGATATCCAGGCTGATTCAGAGATGAGCATATGACTTTTTGAAGTCCACTTGACCCATTAAGTTACTATGTTAGACATCATCCAATACACCAATCAGCCTTATAGTTCTCGTTGTGAAGAAAGTTGTTGGTCATGTGCCAGTCTTATCATACAGGCATGTTCTTTATAGTGAAAATAAAAAACAACAATATACTTAATAATTACAGAAATTTATGCAGAAAAGCCCTAGCTTATAAAGACTAACTAAAACGGCAACAATGATATTATGTAAGAGATATCCTTTAAGCAAATACAAAAGTTCCTTCTGTTTTGAAATCAGTAACGCAAGGATGAGCTATTTATCTTCCAAAGTAAGCTGATGTCCATGAATTTATCATGTTTAAGTTATTGGAATTCAGATGATAAAGAAGCAGCGATAGACAAGAATCAAGCGCTGTAAAAGTAAAAAAAAAGGATGGAAGGTACAGAAACTTCTTTAATAAATTATATGTTGTATATTTTATTTATATGCATACATACTTCCTCATTAGAAACTGGTATCATGCCTGCCATCTGGGGCCAACATTCACCTCCAGGTCCTAGGACACCATATTCTCCTCTGCTTATTACTGCCTAAAAAAAAAAAGGAATCAACAATGAGACACCTTTTGACAATTATTGAGACAAGCAGAACATCAAATCTTGGATTCAAGGGAATTTTTTTCTCTAAAAGCATAATATAGGAATGAAACAGAGTGCATAGCTAGTTATTACAAACAAAACAAACCTTAGCATATGGATCCAACAAGATTCGGGAATAATCAAAGTAGTGTCCTTCCCGAGGAGAAAGCTTCCCATCAAACTTGTACCCATACACCATATCGTCAAGTTCCCCTTGAAGAAAAACATGCCAAACATTCCCAGTCCTGTTAATCAAAGGATCAAGGACAACCTCCTCTGTCACTCTGTTCTGCAAAGAAAGAGGGGAGAAAGTCATATCATATAAAGCAAAAAATTCACAATAATTCTAAAAAATAAATAAAACAATCATCACATTCTTTCTAATGTATATGTCTAACCAAATAAAACAAATAAATGAGAATATATATATATATATATATATCCATCTTCTTTCTTAAGCTACTAAATGTTGGTTTGTAGATGATAGAAAATGTGACTCATGTTATAAATTAGGATGGTCCAGGAAGAAGGTAGAGATATTGAAAAGTTAGAGTTTTCCCTTTAAATGGAAAATCTCTGAATGGTGCATCAACCTAAATTGAAACTGCAGATACCATTTCACCTGCTTATTTACATAATTGACCAATTTAGTTAGCACCAATGTATCTGAAAACTATCTATATTACCACGAATGCTACACTATCAATGATGCTCAAGTCACTCTCCCCTATGGATGAAAAAATTATAAACAATTTAAGCTGAGAATTCTGCTGTCTAAATTACCTTCATTTGGACGAAAAATGAACCCAAAAGGAGTGGACCAAATAATTAGAAAGAAATAAAATAAAATTGAAAACTTTTGGATCAATATGTACGCATAACCAGTAAGTCAATTCAACCTCTGCAAGGAACAAGCCCCATCAATGTAAAGCAGAAGATCTTACAGCTGTCAGATCAGAGAGCGTGAAAAGGCACAGCGCCGCGGCCGTGGCGCCGCTGGAGTAAATTGCGAAATTGACACCGCCATCGCAAGCCGTGGCACCAAGTGGCGCGGGGCTCCCGGCGAGCACTTGGAATGGAGCAAGGCCCGGCCTCTCGATGACCACGGTCTCCACCTCGTCACCCCCACGAGCACTCGCATTGCTGACCAAAGACTTCACCCTTCTTGAACCCCCAGAAACCCTCAAGGTGACCGAATTGCCGACGAGGTCACCCCCTCCTCTCGCATACCTACGGAGATTCCCGCATTTCACCGGAAAGAGACCGCAATTGGACGCGAAACTGAACCTTGAAGTGGTCCTGGACACGTCCATCCGCCCTAGCAGCGAAGGAATCGACGTGCGCAGAGATTCGACGGAGAGGAGGCAATGGGGTAGGAATCGAGGCCGAGAGGACGCGCTTAGGTTTCGGCTATCAGGGATTCCGCGAGCGGAGTGCGGTGAGTATATTGTGCAGTCGGTTTCACGGGGGCACAGTTGGGTATTTACAGGGAAATTGTTGGCCGGCAGCGCATTTCACGTGGCCGTTGCGGACCGAAGACGGTGCTTTCCGCTTTATCGCCACGAGCTCGGATCACCTGAAAAAGCGCGCTCACAGTTCAGGATTTGTATTCCCCCACGCATGTGCCCATCGGTTTCGAGGGCTCACCAAGCGAGTTGGACTTCTGGGAAAGTCGTGTTTCCTGGATGTTTTGGTACAGGTAATCTACACGGCGTCTGTTCTGCGCCCCACCCGTTTTCGCTTGTAGGCCGGAACGGAAGCAGCGTGCGCAACGTGACGCCTCATGCAATCAGAACCGTTCAGCGTGCGCATCGACCCAGATATGGCCCACCCATGCCACTGTTGGAAGTCCCTATTAAATTGTAATCATTTGTTTAAGTTTCGAAAACTAAAAGACTAGTATATGTTGAAGTTACAAAAAGTTACTCATATATATATTTATTTATATAGTCAATTAGATTTCAGTAATCAACTGTGTTTATCTTCCTATCTTATATGTTTGTGGTTAAGTTGCACACTCGAGTCTTCTATCTTTTTGAGGCACAATGAATGATTCACCATTCTAAAAACAAGATTATAGGAACTTGCATCTCTCTCCTTCTTTCAAGTTGGATTGGACACCAAGGACAGTGACAACAAATGCTACTGTACTCTATTCCCAAAACTATTGTTCAGTCCAGAGAGCAGGTCTGCTGTCTTCAATATTTTTCGTTATCCATGTAAAGTGTCCTGAGAATCTCAAGGCATTGGCAGCTTTTTCACTGTTGTTACTGAGGAAGCTGAATAAACACACAGGTCAGAGGGCAAGAAAGAAGGAAGAAACACAGCATTATTCACAGCTCAGTGAGGGTGGAGATGTGTGCTCAAGTTGCAACCAGTCTCAATGCACATTGGTGTTTGTGCTGAACATGGAGGAGGAGCAGGGCTCAGCTTTTCTGGTAAACATCCATTTGAATTCTGCATCTGTTTTCCTTGTTTTGCTGAAAGGGTAAAGGAAAGGGGAAGAAGAAGACCTCCACCATTTTCTTCATCTTCAAAAGCTTTGTGGAGCCACAAAGGATGACAGAACCTTTTTTTTTTCCCACTGCAATCCCAAGTTCAGATTCTGTTGAGGATAATGATCTTATCCCATGAAGATCATTCCAAATAATTCAAGTCTACTTTCACTTTACCAAGAAAAATGAACGAAAGGTACGTGTGGACTAAGCTATCCATCATCTTTATATTTAAAATAAATGTCATACAAAATATTTAGGTGCATGGATTAACCCTTTTAAAAAATTATGGGTTATGAGTTTGTAGCACAATTAATATAAGAGATCTATATATTCATTCATCCAAAGATGTGATGTCACCCTTATACTTTTCATGAGAATTCAATCCATGTAAGTTATATATTATATGTGTGTCTATGTATATATTTGTACATGTGTTTATCTAAAAAATTCTAAATTTAGGTACATTAATCATACTTTGCATTGGTGTGCACTGAGTTTTTTTTTTTTTTGAATAAAAAAAATTGCATATGATATGATCAAAACAAGTGGAAAGTAGGGAAGACAACCAATCAAATGACTACATCCTTTTGGAATTATCACTGATGACAAACATCTGAAAAGCTATCTATCAACAAACACCAAACATTCATTGAGAATTAATATTTACTTTTGAGACAAGCATGAGTACTATATACAAAATTCAAAAATAGCTTTATGTACAATATATTTATATATTATGGTAGAATGCAGAGAGCCATCACCACAGTGAGCTGGAAAAGATGCATCACTCTCAAGAAGATGCTGATACCTGTAGTGATTGGTGCCCATCACAACCTTCCCCTTGTGGGCGCAGACGAGGTGGGGCAAGCCTCCACCATGTTCGTGTTCATTTGCCATCATCGATCTTCCCTACAACTGTAGCAAGCTCTGCATAGTCAATCAAGCAAAGAGCAAGCAACAAGCAACATCACCAACGAAGTTGACGAGGAATGCTGCAACTCAGAAAAGTCATGGCTAAGGTCTTCAGATATCACATCATTGCTGAAAACAAGGAACCATGTTCACACATTAATGCTCGCTTGGTCTGATCACGGCGGTCCGATGGACGAAGACATCGTGCTGCATCACAAGAGAACGCAAGCAAAGACAAACTTAATATGGATGGATGAATGCCTTATCTTCATCACTTTGATCATCTTGAATATGAGTGATGTGATCAAAGTATTAATCAGCGCAATGATCGGAGGTGATCCTGACCCACCACTGCCAGTTTCGTTATATGATATGAAGATTCTTAATGATCAAAGGAATAAAATAAGTGGTCAAAATGATGTATATCTTCGAGATTACCTGTCAAAATGATGTATATTTCTTCGTTGGATACAAATTTCAGAGGGATATTTCAAGTTTTTAGATGAAATAATGGTGATAAAAAGGTTAACATGTATTGTCCCTTCTCATTCTCAGTGCAATTCCTTGTAATTTTCTGGACGAAGCATCGACCACCTCACGTTCGTGCACAAGAGAGAATACATGGATCTCAAAATATTCATAGCAAACGCATAACGAGGAAGAAATGTGCATCTGAATTGCATGAAAGACAACAGAAGTTTCAGCTTCGAATTGCATTGAATTCTCAGTACAGATCATGTCATGCCTCAACATCAGCAACAGGATCATCGTGGATTTAGATTCCAGGTTATGACCTTCCCCAGAAACCCCATACAACTCCATGATCAAGGCTAAAAAGACTGGAGTTGGATTCAGTTCTCTTTTATATGAGAGAGAGAGATAGAGAGAGGGAAGACTCACATCGCGTATGAGTCCCACATTTTTAGGATCCATGGATGAAATCTTAGCGAACGCCACTTACTTCTCATCTACTGCCACTTCACCTGTACAAAAACTTCAAGGGGAAGGAAGAAGATCGAGAGAAAAGCGTGCGTGTTATCGAGCCTTGGTCTTGGGGAGGAGAGGGGAGAAGCCGTTGTAAGCGACCGGCTCGCGGCATGGGGAAGCGGTGGCGGCGCCGAGGTCAGCGAAGAGGGTGTAGAAGTCCTTGAGGCTGAGGGAGCCGAGCCGGGGCTCGTCCCGCTCGAGCGCGTCGAGCACCCACCTGAAGAAGGCCGGGTCGCAGGGGAGGGCCAGACCGCCGGCGGGGGGGAACCCGTACTCCTCCTCCGCCCGCTGCAGCAGGGCGGCGAACACCGGCAGGTTGAGGAACCGGGTCGGGATCACGAACCGCCGACGCTCCGGCCCCACGTACACCGCCAGGAACCCAGACCGGACGGGCCTCCCCGACCCTGCCTCGCCCTCCGCCTTGTTAGCCTCCCCGCCGTGGCGCCGAAGACTCAGTGCCCTCCACCGCCGCATCACCTGCTTCAGCTGCACGATCTGCCGGATCTTCTCCACTTTCTTCATGGCTGTCCTCATTCTCTCTCTCCCAAAATATGCTGCACTCACTCAATAGTACATGAACGGAGAGACCACAGGGAAACCAAAGGAGACAGAAGAGAAACCAAGAAAGCACAGGAAAAGATACAGGAGGAGGAGAGGAAGGAGAAAGGAAGAAAAATACAATAAGCTAAAGGAGAAGAGGAGGACAAAGGAAGAGAACACGGTAAAGGATGAGATGGGAGGTTGGCTGTACTTTATAGGAAAAGAGGAGCCTCGAGGCTACAACCTAGTGCAGTCTCTCCATTAAAAACGAGAGAGAGAGAGAGAGAGAGAGAGAGAGAAGGTGAAGGGAGGTTCCAAAAAAGACGAGAGGAATATACTGGACGACCCATGTAGATTTTGGGAGGATTTACTGCATGATTTAAATCTAGATTTGCTGTTATTCAACTGGAAAAAGCTAAGATCTGAATCTTTGAGATCAGGCTGTCAGTTTGCTCGTTTATTGAGACACATTAAAGGTATAAGCTGCACACTTTGGAGGTCCTAATTGATCTCCGTCATGCATTCCTACCTTGGTATTTATTTCATGGTGCACATTTTGTACATGCATGCGTATACTCTATAATCAACTTTACTGTAATTTCATCGATATAATTCCTCATGAACGTTGACAAATCAAAGCCCTCGCAAGGAAGCGTCCACCATCTTCGATCGACTCACGAAAATAGTAATAATTATTATCGTATACATCAATTTTAGCTTTATCGGAGGACGAGACCGGTCCGTACACAGTTCGCCCAACTTGAGATTTTGTCATTGGTTTTGGCGGATTTGGACCGCTCGGAGGGACGACTGCCGTATACCATCGTACCCCATTTCGTGTTATTTATTCCGATCTTATTTTTGTATTGCAAATAGCCACTAAATAATAGTCAATTGATTTAATTGCTCGAGAAAATTAGTCCGCCGAAATGACCGGTAGTAGCAAGTCGTGGCCGTTGGGACCTCGGGGTGTGAGCTCACACCTGACAGCTTATAAATCACCCTCCGCTTTCGAGTCAATTACTATTACACCCTACTTCACGAGAATGTTAGGGCAGTTTCGTGGATAACAGCGTATCGGAGTCGTCTTACTGGCAGATTCCGCAGCGGACGGCGCTTCAGCCGTCGCCGGCAGTGCTCGAAATCGAGCCGCCCGGGGCGGATCGGTCCGACTACTGAACCCGGTTCGGGAACATTTATCTGGCAGATTCTGACGCGGATGGAGCGGCTCGAAATCGATCGAGCCGGACAATAAACCCGGTTCGGGGATTTTGGCTTGGATTGGCAACGATTTATGGTGGGATGAAGGTTGGGATAGATTAAGAGAAGGTGAGGTTGGTGGCATAAATGACAGAGATCTCGTGCATGTGCTTGGCAGGATTAGCGCATTGATTTGGGAGAACCACAATAAACTAAGAACACACACGTTAACTTTAGCGCTTGGGGGGTACTGCTCGAGTGGGAAACAAGGAGGAGGACTTTAGCCGGCTGTATCTCCGAGGATTTGACTCACATGATGGTGTCGCTTGCTACGTCGATTTGAAGGTCCTCTCAGCTGTGGTGCAATGCGTGTGTGCAGTAGTAGATCTCACTCGTTCACTGGTAAAGCATGTGATAGCATGGAGTTTATGGGGACACGATCTCCGTCCGTCCCCCCCAAAGCTAATCGAATGGAATAAAAGGATTTGGGGGGCATACTCTTAACTCGTAATCTTCCCCATGTTTGAGACAGGTTCAGTGTTTTGTGGATGTTGGAGGAGGAGTTGCTGTGATGTGATGGGGAAGCAGGCAACACATCGCTTGGGATCTTTAGGCGTGGGTGCATCTCAAGACTGCTGCTCCAATTCTTGATGCTGAATCCAAGCCATCAGCTTGAAGAATGATATTGTAGTACTTGAAAGGCTTGGCATTGAGTCCTTCGTTGATAGAGTCCCTAAACCCTAATAGAATAAGGTATTCTATCCTATCATTCCCAAGCTCTAGGATTTTCTCGAAGAATTATATCAAGCATAAATTGTTAGATTATATAATTTTATTTAATTAAGTAAGATATATTATAAATATGATTAGATTCTGATTATGATTATTGTTCGGTAAAAAGGAAGTTCACGTTATAATAGGATTTCTTATCATAGATTCTCTACTCTCGTTTATAAATAGACAAAACCTTTAGGAGTTAAATAAACATATCTCAATATAGTTAGAGATTAATATTTTTTCAATCTTCCTAATCCATCAATCAAGAGAGAAAAACTAATGTCTAGTTCTCCTTGCAAATTGATATCTCATATCTGATGATGGTACGTCTATAGATCTGATAAGATTTATTTTTCTGAATAATAATAAAAAGTACTCATCATAATATTATTAGATTTAATTTTATTTTATTTTAATCATGACCTAATTTTTTTTTATTATAGATAACATTATTATAGATTTTACTTAACCAATAGGGTTGCTTGGCATCGGCATCTACATATCCTTCCGCACTTGTAAGTGTTGCATTTACAGATTTATTGTTTCTGAGAAAATTTAGAATTTAGTTTCATATATTTATTGAGAAAAATGTAGGTTTCCTGTATTTTTATAAGAAATAAATCTAGAAGAGATAAATCTCACTAAATTCACAATATAAAATAACTTATTTTTATAAGAAAATTGATGAGAAAATAATTTCTAAATTAAGAAATCTAATTCGGTGGTCGAGCAATGAGAATCATAGACATTCTCAGCATTTTTGGTGGCCAATTTGACGAGATAATATTTGTGTTGACTAAAGAAATCATATGCAGTTGCTTTTTTAAGACAAATTCTATGAAAAATTGATCATACTTGTCATTATTATAAGAAACTACAGTATTTACAACATATAAGTATAGACAAAAATATTATAAGCAAAGAATACAAAATCATTTGTAAATTGACATCTAAAGCAAACTATAAATGATCATATTTTAAGCACATGCAAAATGTCATAATAATATAATAAGTTTTCTCCTGACATTTGGACCCTTATTTGCATCAATTTTTTTCTACAAACTACACAATTAACATATCCACACAAAACTTTCAAGTTGCACTCAAAATATATAACCTCATATTAATAATATGCTTTTATTTATGAGTCAATCTAAATCTTTATATATGAATTTATGAATTTAATCAACTCTTGATGCACTCGATACCGAGTGAATAATTATTTATGAACTTACGATATACTTTTAAAATTTTTTATTTTTATTATTTTTTTCTTTGCACATCAAATGTTTGTTGAATTCCTCGTAAAATTATCCTCTTTACGAGACATAGGAACTGACTTGAGTAAGTTTACAACTAAGCTGAACCTTTACGCAAGAATAATATAGAGACGTATTATGACTTTGATGATTTTAATTAGTAATATGACACTGCATCAAATCTATTTGCACGTGCGTCGCGCGTGGTATATCGGGTGATTGGCCATAGGTAGATGGGCTTTTTCGTCCATCGGTAATTATTTCCGCACTATAAAAGCGAAAACGAGAGCGGAGCGACGTCGTTAGGGTTAGGGTTTTGGGTGGCGGCGCGCGAGGTAGAAGCAGCAGCTGCAGGAGAGGAATGGGCGTGTTCACCTTCGTGTGCCGTAGCTCCGGTGGGGAGTGGAGCGCGAAGCAGCTCTCCGGTGACCTCGAGGGTTCGGCCGCTTCGACCTTCGCCCTCCAGAGGCAGCTCGTGCAAGCCGCGCTGGCCGTCGACTCGTCCGGCGGGGTTCAATCCTCCTTCTCCATGGTCTCCCCTACATCTGCTGTGTTCCAGGTTTGAGATCCTCCGCTAAATCTTGCTGTTGATTTGGACTTATCTTTGGCCTCCTGACTTCGTTGGAGTTTCACCATTATGGCTTTCTGTCTCCTTTTTCTTTGTAATTATTAGTAAAAATACAGTCATTATAATAGAGATCAGAATAGGCATGAATCCTATATTAATTGCTACTAGTGGATGGTAAATATTGTCTTGATGGTTAATTATAATCAAACTACAATCAACCATACCAGTCAAGAAAATCATCAACAGTATCAGCAAAGAACTCAGATTCGATCTTCAAGTGACTTCCTTTGGCTGATTTGATTGTGGTTCTAAATAGACATGTTCTCTTATAGTTAAGGTGTGCTTGTGCTTGCATCTATGCGCCAAGGTGGTAAGCTACGACGGAGTAGGAACGCAAGGATCCATGTTTTGCGGTTGGAGATTTTCTTAGCGATGCGCTTCATGAGCTATTACTTCGATTGTATTTCTTGGTAGTCAAGAGTGTGGATCTGGTGGTCGGCTGTAGGAGTAAATTTACTTAGTCTCCTTCGGTACAGGCATTCCAACTAGTAATGGACTTGATGCCACTTGGTCTGTCTTCCTAAGTAGTGAGATGCCTTATTTATTTTGTCTAACTCGGTGTTGTTTGATGTAGATATTTGTTTTGAATTGCCATTAATTGGTGTCATTTGATTTCCAATCATTCATCAATTTTTTGCTTTATGTGCTATTAGCCATTTTGATAACGGGATGGAGATTATCATTAGGAGCATAAAGTTGATCAGTTCTTCTGTCATGTAATGGTGTAGTAAATGTGTCTTTTTCTTGGTTTTATACTTCTTTCACAGTTTTGAGATTTTGTCAAAGTTAAAGAGAGTTGATGTTTGATGTAGTTTTTTTCATGTGGGAAGTTTGCTCCATGTAATGCTGATACAGGAGATGCCTCGAATTGATGGCTCCTGAAAGCAACATTATGCAATTGCATACATGGATGCAGTTAATGTGTGGTGTTTCTGAATATGTGAAATATATAATAGGTGCATATTTGATCTGCATAATCATGTATGAGACTCCAATTGGTAGTTTTAATTATTTTTGTAAAAAATATGTTTCTATTATCATTGATGATTTGACATGTATCCTTCTGTCTTACCACTTCAAAATTGCTTCAGATGTTGTCCATACCACATCCTTCTTAATGGAACATTGTCTGAAAGGTCTAAAAGTTGGTTTAGCATTCTTTGTCCAAATATCTATGTTTTTTGCACATTGTTCATTCAGTGTTTTGTGGATCATTTTATGTTGTAATGGAAAAGATAGCGACTACTCTTGGGTCTTCTCTTTTTTGAATGTTGTTTTGATAATTTTAGTAGCTAGTTACGGCATTCCTACATATGCTTCATGTCATGGACTGTGGTATCCAACTATCGATCGGAGGTCTCAAAGTAAGAAATGTGGCAATAATATATTTCTAAAGTAGTAATATCATTCAATGCATTATTAATGTCTTGCAACCTGGTTAATCTTTTTCTCGTACCTTGTTCTTGTATGTGTATCAGTGTATGCTAATCATGTTAGCAACATTAAAGCTTGATGTCGGTGTGGATACACACCTTTGTTTATCTTCACGTTTGTGGCTCCTTGGAGAGTAACGCTAATATTTCTTGAATGCTAGTTGTCAGCGGTTGGGTCTTTTTTACCATATCGATGTACTGTGGCGATGGCCTAATATTAAAGAAGTCATGTTTTACCTGGTACAGGTAATAATTGGCGGAGGTGGTGGTGGTGGGGCGTTCATCGGAGGTGGTGCCCCCTCAGTTGGTGCTGCGGCTGGTGGCGGTGCTGCTGCTCCCGAGGCACCTCCCGCTGAGGAGAAGAAAGAAGAGAAAGAGGAGAGCGACGACGATATGGGTTTCTCCCTCTTTGATTAGTTTGGCTGTGTAAGGAGCATATCATGAGCTTGTGGATTGGATGGTCGCTACGAACAAAGCTAATGAGCATAGGGTGATCCCAAATCTCATTAACTATTAAGCATATCTCTATATATTCAAGGTTTGCACGGCCAGGTTGATGTGTGGGACTTGACTATTTCCATGGACTATACTGACTGGTATGTGGATTGCTGTTGTCTTGTCGGAAGGATTTGCCCCAAGTGAGCTGCCAATTGGATCTGTAACTCGGTCTTTGGGAGAACTTCCTCTCAAGCCAAACCATCCCAAAGAGCCCCTCCCAACTCAGGATTTCTTCTAAGTTAAGCTCACGTCCTGCATCAAAGGCTATCTATATATATTTGGATTTTTTGGATCAATATGGAATGCTTAGCTTAATCTGATCCTTGCCGCTGAGGTAGGGTTTTTTTTCATGTATGGAATCATCGTTGCTGACTAGGCAATAATTTTTTACTTAATTTGACTAAGAAAGTCAAGAAAATATATGATAAATATAGGATATTATTATTTATAATTTTATTTTTATATTTTTAAATTTGTAAATGTATGTATATACCTAATCTTTCTTTTTATTAGTTGTAGTTATCGTCGTCAATCGACTCCGCCGGGAATGATGAGCGGAGTCGATCGACGACGGTAACTACAACTAATAAGTTAAGTGGTTGTGAAGAAGAAATAAAATTAATAATATTAGGGTTATAAATAGTAAAATGATATATATATATTTTTTAATTTTTTTTAGTGATTAGCAATAGTGAAAAAAAAGGGCTATGACCAGTGAGCTTCTAAATTTAGAGAAAGAAAAAGTTAGGAAAAAGTTTGCAATTTCATTTGGCCAATAAGTAAACAAACTTATTTTTATACGTTAAAAATATTTTCTATGTTTTTTAATTAAAAAATATCAACAGCAAATTTGCAACAGTGTGTTGAGATTTTACATATGACGAGTTGGTCTGACATCTCTTATCGCGAATTGTTCAAAGCTTATGAAATTGTCTTATCAACAATAACTTGTTCGTGTTCTATTTTACTTACTCGATCATCCTGATGTTTCATGCTTCGTCTTAAGAACAGGGACGATTTGTGTTACGTTTGCTCGTCACTTACCCCTTCTCATTTTCTATTGGCTGATGCGAAGGCTCAGGCAAACACAAACTTTAAAAGTTAATGACAGTGGCTCGATTGTTCACGAGGAGTTTGGATTCAAGATTGGGAACGCAGTAATTCCGAATGCTTTGCAGACATCTGTGCTTGTTCAGCGGCCTCTTCTACTAATTTTTTTTGTTGTCATGGGGATTTTTGGAGCTTGCTATTCTTACGGAGCAAACGATCTTTAGCTTGCTATTAATATAATTTAATCTTCTTAATGGTCATGATTTGATTCACCAAAAATACTTTTTCTACATAGATAAAGTTGCATGCATCAGTGATCACGATTAGACTTGTATATAATGCACATTTGGGTTGGATCCACAGACTACAAAACTGCAAGTTGTTGATTTGCCGTGAATACTAAAGTACAAGTGACTGCTTGCCGGTGATCCAAATTCCAAACAACACTTGGAAACACAGTAAGACGAGGTGCAAAGATTCCACAGCATGCAGTGGGAGGGACAGATGACATAAGACCTCTGTGGATCAACAGCAACATTAGGACACCTAAGAAAGCATCAGAATAAAAAACGTAGAAGAGGCACAAAGGTTAATTTTTCTAATATTCTCGGTGTCTAGCAGAACCAAAAGCTCCCAAAAAAAACATCAATTACAGCAAGAGAATCCACGTAGATTTCATGCAACCCAACTCAGATCACTTATCAATTTCATGCTTTAGAGAGAATAATGCTGATCATTCAAATATTGTGGCTTTAGTAACATCAGGATCCAGCCAAAATGCTTGAGAGCAGTTTACCTCTTGCATAGTCTGCAAGAGGGTAATGATCCAAGAGGAACCTTAGAGAGATGGACAAGATTATTTATAGATGCTTTTACCCATATATTCGACGCATCAGATTGCAGATGTAGTGTCTGTTAATTCCAATTGAAGCAGAGGAGAAAAGGTGAAGTGCACCATCAGCACGGGAAGAGGAGCGGGGAGCCGACTCTGCAGAGCTTGTTATCTGACAGATCAAGCTTGCTCATTTTTTCTTCACACCATAACAACTGCTCTTTGGTGAGTTGTGACACCCTCAGAACCCTTGATATGACTTTGATGTCGATGAGAGCAAAAAGCAAGTCCACTTCCTCCATGGTCGCTGGCCAGGTTTTCTTCTTCCATCCTTGCTTCTTCTTGAATAGTTCCTTTACCTTGATCTCCTTCTGCAGTTCAAAATCATTGAACGCTGGATTCATACAGTGTTTTCGGTGTAGAGAATATAATGCTGTAGGTTCAAAGCTGTGGTAACCAACTAATTACTCACATCGTTATACACTTGTAATGATTAACCATCCTAAAGGCTAAAGGCCAAACTTGTTATAGAAAAAATGAACAGTTAGATCTTAAGGTTGCTGATGATGGCGACACAAAAGAAAATCAGGATCATCATTCTTGTCCATTTCCAAATCATCTGGCACGCCGTCGCACATCTTAATATAAATTGCATGCAGAAGGCATTGACTTGGTCTCATAATTATATAATTCATTAGACGTGACAAAAACAGAACGTGTTCACAAATTCATTTTGTTGAATCAAAGCAGGGAATCTAGGAGGAACTGCTTTGAGGATCACCAAATGACAGGCATACAAAATGACTCGGAAAACAGTGTGATAAAATCATATTTCTACCATTTAAGCTCAAGCAACCAATATATGGAAAAGCAGCATTGGTAATTCTTGGCCTGGAAAACATCCCAAGTGTATTATTTTTACTGGAATACAAAATAATAAGAGGACATGTACTGATGAAACTCGTGTGAGAAATCAACGGGTGACATACCTTTTCAAGTGATGCCTGAACTTGCTGAAGGGAGCTCCGAGGACTGTGAGCCCGAAAGAAGCCACCTGATTTTTTCTTGTCCATCTTCAGAAAAAGGCGGAACGTTAAGATTGGACCCTCTACTATCTTAATGAGGTCAGTGGCGAGAATTGGTTCCTCTGAATCATCCTCCACGTGTTCTTTCTGATCCATACCTGAAATGGGGAAAGCAAATAATTAAACAGAATAACAGAATCAAAGTGTCCCTGTACAATATTCCTTACTCTGATTAGAAGATTATATACAGCAGAAAATCACACTATTACAGTCCAGATCTCTATAGAGTTTAGATATGGTACTAACCTGAAGAAAAATAGAGAAACACATGAGCCAACTTGGAAAGTTTACAAATACACCATTTTGTTGCCAACTGAAGGCCAAGTAGTAGACTAATAATTTTGGTTTAAGCACTTGACATTATATGGCTAGGCTCACTGCTTTCAAGTTACAGGGCCATTTGGTCATTGGTTCCTAATAAATGTAAATCACAATCGACAACAATTTATCATATTATATCCTTTTTTCATTTCCAAGAGTAAATCGACCAAGACTAATCCATCCATGAGACTTTTTCCTTATGCAGTAATAACAAGTGATCAGAAGAGGAAAAGATACTCTTATGTCAGTGTAATTCAACTTTGATTTTTTTTTTCTTTCTGAAATTAGTTAATTTCTATCAAATATAGACCCAATTGATACTACTTTAGCAAGATATCATCAAGTATAAAGCAGAGATTCCTTAAATTCACAGAATTAGTTTGGGATGCAATATAGTTACCAACTCAGGTAGGCTTTCAGTCAACTGTGGGTCAACTGACCCATTTGAATTTTGATTGAACAACAACAGTTGAAGAGGAGTTTGATTTATTTATGATCCTCTGAATATTATAACTTACCTAGAAGATTTGGGACCTGAAGCAACTTAGGTAGTAAAAGCCGAGCACGGGCATATATCTCCATCCTCGATCCTTGTTCAAATGGCTCATTCTCAATAAATCTCTGCAACAGAACCTGGAAGTGCTGAATTGCTTGAGCAGCATATCTGTAGGAGGCATCATTTCCAGGCTGACGTGAAGCCTTCTGGCTCAGTTGCATGTACTGGCAATGAAGTGCCTCCCAACTCAAACAAACTTGAGCAACATAAGCAGCTTCAAGATTCAGGGATGGGTTCTCTTCCTGCGGTTGCTGCAGGTTTTCAGAGTCCTCTTGATGTTCATCTTGCTTCTTGAATGAAAGGTTACGAAGACCCATGGATAACTTCTTCGACAAACTTCTTGGTGAATGCCCTAGAGTCCCCTTAGATCCTGACAAATCATGCATCTCATCAGCTTACAGAATCTGAAGAAATATCTCACACCAATTACAATTTAGAATCAGAAGTATATGCCACTAGAACAACTTAAGCAGCTACCGAATTTAGGAACAAACAAGTTGATGCATAGATGAAGAGCAATACGAAGTCATTCGACGGATAACGCTGTTTACTTGTATAACTGAGTTCAAGAAACAAATTTCCTGGAGAACATCATTGCTGTAGGAAACATGCAATCAACGATGGACAGTCAACAGGAAAGCAGTCATCGACTAAGCTATTGAGACCATACCAGCTTCTTTAAGGTGGCGGGCGATCAGCTTATCAAAGAACAGCATCCGCTCACAGTACTCGTCATACAATGTGTCGAACCCGCACCATGGATACCCATCCCCTACTTCTGATTCCCTCCATCCGCTCGAGCTACTCTCCTCTTCCTCCTCCTCCTCCTCCTCCTCCTCCTCTTCCGGATTCCCTTCTTCTGGTATAAGCACCATGAAACTGTTCTTCCTCAGCTCCTTCAGCCGCCTCTTCACCTCATTCGTGATGAAATCGTCATCATCCTCATCCTCCCCCCCGTCCGCAGCAGGATCGGCAGCAGCTGGCTTCGACATTGTATCCAAACTCTCATCTTTCGGCTCCTCTGGCTCGGAGAGCAACTGACCCCGCTCCTGATCCGGATCTTTCCTCCCCTTCAACTTGGCAATGCCACGAAACTTTCTTACCTTGAGGAAGTCCATTAAACCCTCTCAAGAAAGCGGAATAATCCCAACTTGCTTTCAAAGCTAGATTCCAAGCAGATCCCTCCCTTTTTGCCCTAACGACTTCAATGTCACACCTTGACAGTTACGTCGGAATCGTCCTTCTGGATTTCTTCCGCCTTAAAGAAGCTCCAAAAGAAAGGATTCTCTCAGAGAGAGCGAGGAGAAGTCCCCCAAGACCCCAGAACCCGAACCGCGGCTCACAAAACAGGGGACTCGAGATCCACGCTCTCGTACGGCCTACGAGATCAAGATCCGGCCGGGGAGGTGGCGGCGCCGCCACATTGGGGTCCGCAACCGGGGCAACGACGCGGAGGTCAGGAGAACCCTAGAAATGGAGGCGTGGGGAGGGGACGAGGGCGTCGGAGTTGGCGAGGCGCCGTACGCCGAGTGTGCCTGCGGAGTGGAGAGGACCGTGTCAGAGTGGAGTGGGAAAAAAGGGTAAGTATTAAGTCAAAATACTGAAACGCCCTCAAACTTTTGTTTTATCTGCCGACGGTGCCACCCTCGGTATCAGTGGGGACCACCTCCAGGAGCAAGGTTGACCGCTGGATGATTTAGTGGGTACGTAAATCCGGGACTCGCTGTCTGATACCGAGCAGGATCCAGCTTAATTCACCAGAGGTCTGCTCCGGCTCGGAGACTCGGGCGACCGCAACATGTGTGCACGCTGTCCAACGCTAAACAGCCGACCGGAGTCGGGGCCTGACCTAAATGACCTCCTGCAGGGATGTTGACCGCGTGATCGGAAGTGTTTATGATCTGGGATTCGCTGTACGGTCTCGATCAGAATCCAGATTTCCTTGGAGGAGATGGCTTCGGGTTCGACGACTCCGCAACTGCAACACTTGCGAACCCTGCGCGAAGCGAGACAGCCGATCAGAGTTGGACCAGACCTAAATGACCTTCATAGTAAAGTGATGGACTGTGATCATTCATGTGTTTTGGACCGACGCCCATTTCCCTCATTATTCGAAGAGAAATATTTTAAGTGTAATCTTTTTCCTTTTCTCCTTTTCCTTCATTTTCTTTTTCTTTTGGTGAGAATGACTTTGATACAGTATAACAAAATTTATTTTAGATAAAAAGTAGTAGATCAAGATGAAGAAAACTTTGAACTCAATTTTTTAACCTGATTGATATTTAAATGAAATCAAATCAACTAAGAATCAGACAGTCCCTGGATGACAGATTAATAACTCAAAAACTCCCATTCCCTCTTCTCCAACATCTCAAAAACCCACTATGCAGGTCTCTTCACTCCTAAAAGCAACTCCAATCCCATTCATGGGAGACATAATTCCCCTGTTCTAATATTGACTGAGAGACAGCAAACATATTTATATTTATTCTGACAGAGGGAACCAGGAGGCAACTGCAATCACTATAAACCAATTAGGGCACAGCACTAAGAAATCTAACCTTAATCACTCAGCTGGAAAAAGTTGTGCATGTAATTGTGATGTATGAATCTGCAAACAATCAAGTTATCCAAAGGAACATATACTTGTTGTCAGAGTTGGTCTAGAGCTAAGGGGTATTGGCACAATCTAAGACAATTACTGGAACCATCTAAGAACAAATACAGGAGCAGTCACTCAACTAACAAATACATACAGAGCTAGTATCCCAGCCAAGTGGATGGGATTGGCTGGAACATGGACTTGGCGCAGGCCAACACATCATAGAAATCGGCACGGCTCAAACAATCACGGAAGTCGGTGAACAGCTTCTCGAACACCCTCCACAACACCTTATAAGATCTTGAGTAGGGAAACGGAAGAACAAGCTGTATGGAAGACGAAAGAAAATTAATGATAAAGCTTCAAGATTTGCCTGATTTTGATAGGAGAAAACAGGCAAATCTTGAAGCTTTATAAAAGCTGTATGGATGATCTTTTAAACACTTGAGTTATCAAATTTCTAACAAGATAACATAAAGCATTAACACTAAACTGAGGAACATAGTCTGAAGACTATTTAGTTTCTTATCCAAGATGGCAAAGCAATGCTAATACCAGCGTTGAACAGTTCTTTAACTAGTTTCGAACCCACGCGCTCTAAATTCAATACAGGAAGAGGTGCCGAATGTGAATCTTCTTTTGTCACATCCAATTTGACAACTGGCAGAATAACTGAATCTAATAAAGGAGGTGTCATTTGTTCTATGAATCACATGAAATCAGGTTAGGCAAAGTGTATCATGATACACTGAACAATGTTTTTAAAGCACCTTGTAATGATGTCCAATAAAAGATAACCCATAGACGAAGTATTTGTTGCCAAGAAACTTTAATATTAGAATCTGAAGATAAATAGTGTTATTTTATGATAAAAATACTAGTTGTCTCTACCTACAAGCCATGGGAATACCAACATTTTATGACCTGCAAAAGAGGAAGAGATAAAGGTGCTCACATCTCCTTCTTGTGCAAAGCGTTTTAACAGCAAAAACGTGTGCTTATTTTCTTCAAGATTGTTGATGACTGCTAGCCAAATCTCTGAGGCTAGCTCATGGGCCTCGTCTCTTGAGCTACCACAGGCAATAAACTGATCTGATAGGAGAAAAAAGAGCTCTGTTATTAGCTACAGAATCATATAATTTGCTGTGAATTCGGATAAAAAAATTGAAGGCATTATATAATTATATTCATTAGGATGATGTAAGAAAAGAATCCAAAAAAGAAACTCAATGTTCTGCAATTCATGTACTGCTTTAATGTCCATATACACATTGAAGGTAGTTTTAGAATAGAAAGTTTATTTTAGAATTTCTTGAAGCAGCATCTAAGAACTCTCTTTACACTCAATTTTCACAGCGAGGGTAAAGTGGTAATTCTAGAAATAAAAATGCCTGATACTCCCATTGTGGTTTTGGAGTACTTGGAAGTTGGAATACTCCTATGGTGAAAGTTACATATCCACGAAATCTCAGAAACAACAAGTCCCTTGGTGTAGAAATGACTTACAGGTAAAACTTATATGGTAAAGATGTGTACCATAGAATTTGGCAAACCTCAACAGTCTTAGTATCTTAATGGCTCATGAGTATCGTGAAACATTCGTTCATCAACCAAGTGCTTCATTTTCAGAGAACAGATATCCAATTAACATATTTGTGATGGTTACAATCTTTGCATATGGATAATTGACAAATAATTTTGATGTATGGATGGTTTGCTCATAACTTAGGACCATGAACTGACAACTGTACAACCATGGGAAATCGGAAGTCTCCTAGTCTTTTCTCATACTCCTTATTGCAGATGTGATTCATACAATAACAACAAGCTATAAAATTCAACTGGTTGAGGTTAGCTACATGAATCTTTTCATTGAGTTCTATTGAGGTCAATATGACTGGTCCAATTAAAACTCATCAAATCCTTTCTCACCGAGTATAATAAAAACTTCCATCTTCCTTTACCACTAATATAAGTTCGCGCATTGCCAAAATGGCACATGCGTAGCTCTATTTTGGAGATGCCCAAACAAAATTATATCGTTTTCTCTCACTGTATCCTTGGCTGAAAAGTTGAAACTACCCACAGTTGTTCAGGAAATACATGTTTCTGTTCTATCTTATCTAGTTAAGGCTTACATATCATGTTCATTTCAATGGTTGCAATGCGTGATCAAGATCCTAAAGTCATGTTGTAGGTGCATTCCATCCTAGGGTCCAGCAATGTTGTACAAGTAACAAAGTGAGATGACAACGAAAAGGTATACTCTACATTATTGAAGGATCAGAATTGACCGTAGCTGGTGACAAAAGTGTGACCAGGGCAAGTTCAGCAATATGATCCTGTTTTCTCTTCTAACACCGAAAAAAAAAAAAAAAACTTTATCAAACTAGAAAATAAATCCAGAAAGAAAGTTTACAAAATTATATTCAATCAGATACGATCATCCCATCTCTGAGTAAGGAATTGAAAGTCATGTTATTCTCCCCCTCTACTATGCATAAGCATTAATTACCACCAAATATGACTAATTCTCGAAGTCATTTTCAACAATTTACATTGAAAAGTTGAACCTTTAAGAGCTAGAAACAGAGTAATGAAACTTTAGATGGGCATAAGAACTATAACATGCTTGATGAGAGATCATGCTTCGCTATGGAACTGAATGATGCAACTTGCATTGATAAGAGCATATTGTGCCATGTCAAGAAACATACAAGAGAAGACAGCAAAGTGTCTAACACTAAATTTGACTGAGACTGCATTTCATTTTTCGATTTTCATCCTTTAGGTACATGAAGCATCAGCAGTCAAACAAATTAGTATCTTCCAGTATGATATATGATGGAATTTACTGTGTTCTGCATTAATATATCTAATTGCCACTTGCAATTCCACGGTGACCAAGACTTCAGCCATGAGTAATAAGTACACAAGATTCACAATTGGCACTATAAAATGTCAATTTAAGTACAAGATGAGATAGTTACAACCCTTAGAGATAGTTTCAACTTTTAAAGACAAAGGCCTAGCATATGTAATTTCTGCTAATTAGTAAATCTAGTAACTTTCAAGAGACCTTGAGTTTAGCTCTGCTATAGTACTTCTCTGCAGTAGCCTCACTTGCAGTCACAGAGGTCTTGTAATCAAGGCTTTGAAACTTCTACAAGGATTTCTAGTCCCTAAAATATAATTCATTTTCGATGACTATACCTTTCCCGCCTTGCTACCTGGTATCTAAACCATGCAACTTATGTTTTCACCAACAAGGTATTCAGTTTTCAAGGTTATTTGTTACCAGATGCCATGTAATCATTTGAAATTGATATTTAACTAGATTAAAACATAAGAAAGTATGCCTTGAAGAAGGTCAATAAGCAACAATCATAATTCATGTGTTTTTGGTAGAAGCATGGATAACCATGACTTGTAGGTTTGAATAGTTACAATAGAAACAAATACAACAGAAATTGACATAACAAAGCTAGACATATTTTTGCCAATATAAGATACAACTGTCACTACGCATACAAAATTGCTGTCTGACAATTCTGATTTCAATCATTGGTGCACAAAACAGAAAAGCAGACAACAAAATAAAGGAAAAAAAAAGCAAAACAAAGAATAACATTATTAGGTAATTGATATGGCGGAATTAACATGGCCGACATGTCGGTGTATGTGGTCGACCAGTCAACCACAGTGATCAATACTTACTATATCAAGTGGATAACGCATCAACTATACATAGCCGATGAGCCAACAGCCTCCTGCCACCCGAAACGATCGATCGATTGATAAGGCCAACTGGCCATCCTCGACGAGTGTCACATGGAAACAATTATTCAATCCTATGTTTGCTGCTGGGTGGCAGCGGTTTCAATCAAATTCCATGCCCCCCATTTTTGCACGAACTACGTAATAAACAGGCGTAACATCTCTAAGTGACCATAAAGGAGCCCCTACGGGAATACAAAGACACACAATTTGATTAGTCCAACTTATTTGACTAGCTACTGATTTAAACTTCGAAGGGACATTTGTCAGGAGTGCCCCCGACACAATTTTGTAGGATTCGACGCCTATCATCTGACAAGACAGTTTTCCACGAGGTTGACTCGAAGGAGAACTAGGTTGGATCTGATTGGGTATTCAGGTCAGACAACTAAAATCTACTTTAATAGATTGGGGCTAAAAGGAGGGTCAACCATGTCTCTGGGAAACTTTGCAAGTCCTAGTTGGCCAAATCCCAAGGAGCCGAATCCATTAAATAGACCTAGTTCGATGGCTCCGAATGCCCCTATATCGAACCCTATGAGCTCAATAATCCCGAACCAACTAGAGGTGTAGGCCGGCCCAAATCCATCACCACAAGTGCTTGAGCCAAACCTTTTCCGCCGACTCTTTCAAGACTCGGCTTTCCTCCAACCCCCTCCACATCAACAACCGACTCAACCTATCATGATTGTGCCCACTAAAGTTTTCAACACCCTGGTCCATCAAGTGCAAATGCTGATCGAAATAGTCTAATATATAGCTCCTTATCTCCCTCAACTTACTCAACTTGCACAACAAGCACTACCCGTCTTATTCACTCCACCATTCCCTGCACCCATTCCACCCCCTATTCCTGTTCAAAGTCTGGTAGCTGAGTCTCGCCCAGCTCAGGCTTCGACACCTCAAGAGATGCAATCTCCTCCGGCACAAATCTCCATTGTAGCTCCAATGCTGGATCTTCCCAATGAATCGGTTGCTCAATCAATCGAACTCCCAACTGAGCTCCGGGACCAACTTAACAAAATGTACCAACAATTGGAAGATATTTAAAATGAGATAAAACAAAGAAAGCAACTAAAAGTGGAGTCATATCCACGGTCTCCTTTCACAAAAAGTATAAACGAGGAGCCGATTCCCTAAGGTTTCCGACTCCCGTCACTCGATGTGTACGAAGGAAAATTTAACACTTCATAACACATCCCAAATGACAATTTTCGGAATTACCGATTCACTCATGTGTCGAAATTTCCCAACAACCTTAATGGGAGCCACACATGAATGGTTCGCCAAGCTCTCCTTAGAATCAATTTCTCCTTTGGGCAGTTGGTTAAAGAGTTTGAGCTAAACTTTATCAGCTACCGACTCCCAAAGAAGCCCACCACCTCCCTCCTGGCCATTAGACAAGAGGAGAAGGAATCCTTGGAGAATTATACAAGAAGATTATGTGATCCGCTTAGTTGCTGATCCAACACCATCTGTCCTTATCAACGCGTACATCGGCAGGGTCCAGCCCTCACAGTTCTTTTACAAAGTCATTACTTAGTCTCCAGCCACATTTTTAAAACTTCTTCAGGAGGCGAACTGCCATATAGTGGCCGAGTCCCTGTAATTGCTGGGAAGAGAAAGGCTAAACCAAAAAAGACAAGAAAGGAGCAGAGGCCTCAGTGGCAAATCCCTGTAGAAAGGCCACGAAATGATAAATCGAGGAGTGACCGAATACCTCCTCGACGGGGATTTCTCTCTACTTAATACTTCCCATACGAAGGTATTTATGCAAATCCAGTAGAAAGGACTCTTGCGGACACCATGCCCCGTGAAAGCAGATGTAGAATTCGTCATCAGAAATCGAAAATATATTAGTAATTAGAACTTCATAAGTTTCTTCAGAAAACTCACCTTGTACCAAAACCACGAGGAATGGGTCCAGGCCATCGTGCCCTTTGAACAGAAAAAGGCCAGGTCCTGATGATAGCAGTTTGCCACAAACTCTCGCCTCGAAACATCTCAGCCCAGTGTTTGTTGACACATGAGATCTGAGACCACTCACAGAAAGGTACACGGACAAAAATTTCTATAAGGAGATGATCGGGAAGCTTTCCAAATGCATGACCACCTTCCATCATAAGGCTTCAACAAAGCCCCAACCACCGCCCTACTGCACCCCCACCCGAAGTCCGGCATAAACTAGGCCCTCGGACAAACCCAAACAACAACAACAAGGAGAACTAAATATATGCACTTGATCATGATGTATGCAAAAGCTTCCAGACAAACTGCAAAAGACCGACGGATTGACAGAACCCCAATTTCACGTAGTGGAGAATGACACAAAAAACCTATTAAAAGCATCCGATTCTTCCGTCGCGCTAAATCAAAACCTATCAAGTCTCCATTACCCGTCGAAACAAATCAAGAACATCCAACAAAAAAGAAAAACACCCACTCAATGACCCAACGATCCAATGCCATCACAATCCGATAAGACGAAGCGAAGATGGAAACTTCGTACCTCTCATGCCTCAACGAATTCACACGCAACGACACGGATTTGATGTGAAAGGAATAATTAGTTCCTAGGAGCTCCGACCGGCCAAGAAGAAGGTTGTGGGGCCGGAAACGAGATCGTCGGGAAGGTGTTACATGGGGAACAGAGGGAGGGCAAGAAGAGAGGTTCCATAGATGAAGCTGTCACCGCGACGACGGGGAGAAGAAAACGTTGCCTTTTCGCTCGTCTCCTCGGCTCTTCTCTGGATTCGTTGGAAACGTCGGTTCGGATGTCGTGTCTCGGCAAGGTATCTGCCTTCGGCAGCTGACGTGTTAACCTCCGCCCAACCTATGGCTAACGACATATTAAGCATTCCTATATAATTGGTAAAGTGAAATATCTAAATTTATTTATCATAATAATATTAATTTTATTAATAAAAATATAAAAATAAAAAATAAAAATAATTTTAATATTTTAATTAATGATGCTGGACGATCACACCATTAAAGGTCACGAATGAGTATTGTAGATGAGGATAACAACAATGAGTATTTGCATCGACATCGACATAGTTACTGAGTGGTCCTTTCATTGCTTTGTATTTATATTGATGTCGATACAGTTGAGTGATCCTTTCGTTGCTTTGCATCTATGTTGATGGTGATACAATTGTCGAGCGTCGAAAGAATTATCGATGTAAATATCGATCTTTGATTTACTATTAATTTTATTGATAAAAATTAATCACGAGTTTTGATGGTAACATAATTAATTGGTCGATTGATCTCACTAATAGTCTCTCCCAAAATATGTCAACTTAAAATGACAAACTTAAAAATAAAGAAAAATACTATTGATCTGTCTCAATTATGTCAACTAACAATTGTTAAATCTAAAAACAAAAGTCATAATGATTTTATTACAATATACTTGTCTTGAGTCAAATTTCAATTCCCTCATCCAACTTCTACTTAGATGAACAGATAAGGCTTTATAAGGTGGCATAAAAGTTTATTTTAACAAGCTTGATGTAGTTGAAAATTTTTGACACATCTGGCTTGCTTGAAATATCAATTTTAATTTAGTAGGCCAATTGACAAGTTTGCAAGCTCAAGTGAAATTGTAATTCAAAGTCCATGCATTACTAATATAATTGTACTGAAGGTGATAGGTATGTGATATGATGTTGCATTGGTCATGGCAATAAATGGCACACATCCTCACAGGAGAACATCAGAAAAATGAGACTTACATGACCTCTGAGGGGCATCTAAGGATTTTGATCTTTTATTTTTTTTTTGTCACAGTTAAAGAATTTTTCTCATTTATTTACCCCCACGTGTATTTATTTATTTATTTGCACTTGAAGCCTCCCTTGCATAGTCCTTTGTTAAGGTGTGTGATAGGGAAAAAGAAGATGACCAAAAGAGGCTTTAAGTGAAGATACAGGAAAAATGTAGTGTTTTTTTTTTTGGGAAAATAATCTTTGTTATAAAAGTCATTCTAAAGAAAAATACCAACATTTATACCAGATGATAATTTGTTTAAAATTATTACTATTTATTTGGTATAATTATCTACATGTTCCCTTTACAATGTAATTTTATGTTCATAGCTAAAGCTAATAAACCATGTCTACATTTGAATAGCTTAACATCAACATAGCATCTATATATTCTCTCACTAAACCAACTATTATAAGAATAATAAATATTGTATAAAGTGACATTTTCAGGTATGCTTTGATTTGAAACTAATTAAATCAATATTTATGAGGTTTAAACACTTAAGAATGTAAATTAATTTAATTGTCATAGGAGTTTTATCAAATAAATCACCAATGCAGTCTTCTGTAATAAACAAAAACATGATACATCCTTCTTCTATCATAAACTAAAATAAAATAAGCGACATATAATATTAATATTTATGTATTAAAAAAATATTCATCCAAACACTCTCCTTTATTTGGATTCAATTTTATCAAGTCAAATTGATGATCAATTTTGACCTTTTAATTATATATTATGAATTTAAAATTATCCTCATCCTCATCATAATAAATTATAAAACTATGCAAGTTTGCCAATGAACCCATAGATTTCATGAGCTAAAATTATCCTCATCATATCTATTCCTATTCTTGATCTGAGAACTCCTAGATGAATAGTTGACCCTCTTGAAAACCTAATTGGATTCCTCCTAGTCTTGAAATTTCAAGTCCATTACAAAAATCATTTTCTTTTGAGTAATGTGACCCACTCACACACCTTAAATTCATGCAAGTTGCTCCATGAGAAGCCCATGTGTGGAGCCCACATATCTATGTGGGATGTGAGGTTGAATCATGAGCTTTATTATACAACCCATTTTAAACTCAGTAATCATAGTCAACATCAATATTTAAACAACTTAAAAAAAATATTAATTAAAGACTACTCTTTGATTAAAAAAGTCTTCTTTGTTTCTTAATTCTCAACTCTCCACCCAAATATTATCTTTCTTTTAATGATCTCCATTGTCATAGAAATTTATATGATGCGATGTGGAACCCACTTGACAGTGGAGGAAGCATAAATCTGATATAAAGGTATTATACATTGGTATCCCACTAAAGTTCATAACATGGGAATATGTTCTATAATTTGTTAAAAGAAGAAGCTTCTTTTTAGATTACTCCTTCTGAAATATGCGGTGGTTGTCGAGAGATTCCAAATATTTCGTCTTTACCTAGGATGAGGATCCTCTGCAAACTGTTGCTAGTCCTGTTCTCCTTCCAATTCCGCATCTCCACTGTGCATCTGCAGTATTCTCCATCTCGATCGTCCATTAGTTGATAGGATCGGACGGTCCTCGAGAGGAATTGGACAGGATCCGTGCTGGGGCACACGATAAATCCCGTGATGTGCCCTGGCGGGGTCTTAACTCTCTCGGTCGTCTCGTCTTCGCTCGGGTCTCCTGACGTCTCACGTTCGCCTTCGCTCTCGGGTTCGTGATGGCCTCCTCCGTCGCCGAGAAGCTCGCGGGGATGCGCGTCGCCGACGGCGACGGGTGGGCCTCGGTGGCCCCTAATCTGCGGAAGAACCTCGGCGTTCTCTCGTCAGAGGAGGTCTCCGTCTCTTCAAAATTGCATCCGATTCCGTGTAGAGACTAAGAAATAATATTTTAATTTGCTTTGTTGTCATCTTCTATTATAGGGCAAGATTGTTCTGATCCGGATGTGGAGTTTGGTTTTCGACAATCGAAATGAATGGATTTAGGGCTCTTTATTGTGATCTATCTTCTCCGTGGAGTAGACTAGGAATTACTTGGAAGAAGTCAGTTTTGGTCTTTGGTTGATCGATTTCTCTGTCTCGGCTTATATGTTTTCTGCATGGTCGTTATGTGAGTCGTTTCATCAGATGCACAATTGATTTTGACTGTTAACGATAATGACGGAGATCGTCTTTTTGAAGCTACTAATTCTGTCCTTATCCCGAGCGATCCACATATGTACGTGGAAAGAGAGCTTTCTCCTTTCAGGGCTTTATTGCTCCGCAGTTGCTTCTCATATCTTGGGGTTTCCTTTGCTAAGACCCGATATTGCATGCACCTACTAGTTTCCTCGTACTTCAACTGTCAGTCGCATATTTTACCTGCTCCGACTTAAACATAAATCCTGTAAAGTATGTGATTGGGTTGTGAGGATGCTAATATTATTTTATTATTAGCATTTTCCTTTATTTTATTCTATTGGGCTTTTATATTATCTTTCTGGAGACATGTAACTATCGCTCAAGTTTATTACCATGGTGGAGGGTTTTGGACTGTCTCTTGTGCGACTCGAGAATAGTTTTTGAATTTTCGTTTTGGGCTCAAGAACAACATTTTACAGTCTTTGATAAGTCAGGTACCAGGAGCTGGAAGCTTTATACTCTATGCTTGCCTTTTCTGTTGCCCTTGCCCTGCTTTTTATTTCTCAGAATTTTGTCTTAAAAAAATATTTTGATTTAGTTCCTTAATGCCATGGGTTATTTGAGCTGCAACAACCAAGGAGATGATTTACATTTAGAAAAGCGGACATGTTCTGCCAGACCAAAGCTTCCTAAAAATTTAGTTGGCTTTTTATTGAGTTTGCTGCACAATGTTCAGGTAGTATGTATCATATCACTCTGGATTTTAACTTTTGACTTGGTAAGACATTTGATCCAAGTTAAAGTTATCTATTTAATCGTGCCCCTTTTTATTTTAAGATATCATCATTTATCCATGAGAGAAGATGACCATTTGTCCTCCAACTGTTAAGTGGCTCCAATTAATGTATTTCACACTTAGCATTGTAGGAAAATTCTGCCAAAAATCTCAAAATTTGTTTGATACTGTAGCCATGATCATCATGTATATAGTAATATCCCTAATAACTTGCAGAATTCTGACTTATGTTCACTGCTGTTTTGCCACTGTTTACTAGATTGAGCTTGCAAAGATGTTGTTGCACGAGGGACAAAAACACCTCTTTGATCATTGGCCGGAGCCAGGTGTTGATGATGGGAGGAAGAAAAGTTTCTTTGATCAGGTCATTTATCAATTATAGTATTTATTTGTTCTGTTTATACATTATTCTTCAGAAGTTGATGTGGAAGATTAATGAATGCCTTTTCTTTTATAAACTGGTTAGTGTGGTTCATGAATAATCATGCCTTTATCGATTATCTATTGAAGTTTTTGATTGCTTAAAGAGCAATTTCTAGTCTTAACAACTCAAAATATGCAATAGTCCCTAGTTTGTACTTGAGTTGTCTATAGACAGAAATATAAATTTCAATGACTTGAAAATAGAAGATATGTGTGTGTTGAAAATAGGTCCCTTCATGACAAATTATCAGGATTGTATTTCTTAGAAATATTTGATGGTCCATGGTGAAATGGTACCTCTGATCAGGTTGTCTAAAATGTTCTTTCAGTATTATACTTTCATGTAAATCATAGAGCAATCTGAAGTTAAAATTGTGGGTTGCTTGAACTTATGCATACCATGGTCATCTGCAGGGTATGCTTGCACAGAAATAAAGTACATAAATGCAGACTTGCATTGTTTTTCTTCTGTTAATTTTCCAGGATTGATCAACAGACAAATTTTTAATTAATAATTATTCTTTTACTAGTAACCTAAAAAAACCCAAATTTAGCAGTCTTCTGTGGAACTTTGCCTAGATTGTCTGGACAAATCTTGGGTGGGGTCACTGCTCCACTGTTAACTTGCTTGGGACATGGTTGATTCTGTAAGATGTTGACTCTCTTTCCATTTTAAGAGAAATATGCTTTACATGATCACAAAAAGTGACACCCTATGCTACAATTCACTCTGATAGGTTCATGCCTAGTAATTTAGACACAATAAGCCTAAAAATGCCTGAAACAACCCATCATCCACTTTGCTTTGAGATAATGTAGGCATCATCATCTCCCTCGGTAGGCTAATCTATTGGATTTTAATGTGGATCTTTGAGAAAATCCCGCCTTGAGGTGCACGAGGTAACCCCTTACTCAATGTGTCAGCCAACATGGAGTGGTCCACAGTGTTCCCTCTGACACTGATATCAGGATTTGGGCTCCATAAACCTACTGGTTCACTGAGTATAGTGGCCCTTATGTTATGTGGCTTAAAATGCTGCATATTGAAAATGTTCCTTAAATTAAGCTGCCAAAAACCTGTGTAGCGAAAATTAGTCCTGAAAATTGAAGGTCTTTCCCCTTTAAATTTTGGCATACTTGTTTTGGATATCAAACAGATTTCATAAATAATAATTATTGATTGTTAAAATAACAGAATGGTACATGTGGTTTTAAATAGAAAAATAAAATATATTAAAATTTATAAACAGCAACTTCAATTTGTATTGCATATAATCCAAACACTTCCTCTTCCAATTTGTTAAAGGTGGAGATATCTAGGTGAACTGTGGGAGTCAATGTATTGTGTTGATTCTTTGCTTGTTCTGCAGCTCTGGCAGTCATTAACCAATCTTTAGACTATTCCTATTAGAACTCATTTACGCAAAGTTCATTTGTATTCTATGCTGCTTATCTTGTTGAAATTAGTGTTCTTTGTAGGTTGCCCGGCTTAATTCAAGCTATCCTGGTGGTTTGGTGTCATATATTCAAAATGCGAAGAGGCTCTTAGCTGACTCTAAAGCTGGAAAAAATCCATACGATGGCTTTACTCCTACGGTGAGTAAGCCTTGTGTTATTGTTCATTTTTTTTTTCATCATATATGCATTTTTCACACAGTTGCTTCTCGTTTCCGTCTTCTCACAATTATTATAATTGTGTAGTCGAGTCATTCATAGATATGATCCATGAAAGCTTGAACATTCCATTTTATTGTTACTTCTTCCAAGTTATGCAAGAACAGAAATGATCTGGCAATCCATGGATGCTGTACCTCCTCAAATTGAGGTCAAAATTTAAATTAACAACTTTAAGAGCATAAAAGCTTTTGGTGGCTTTATTATAGCACATAAAATTATTTGAGAGATAAATATAAGCAAAGGAAAATTGCAGCATTTTGGAAGTTGGATGGAGATTTTGTTATGTATTTCATATACATTTATCTCCCATTCGTTATAAATTTTAGACCATCCCATACACAATCATGTTTTTAGTTTTTATCCCATCATTCAGTAAGTAATTTCTCTAATACCCTGAAATATCACTTCAAAATATCTTTTTCATATGCTCTTCTAGTTTGTGAACCTTGGAATGAAGATATGATTAATTTTTTCCTGACCTAGGTAACTAAGATTTGAGTAATAGAAATGGCCTTTTTACTTGCAGGCGAGGTATATCATGCATTGACCCTCTCCAGACTATATTAGTAGGAGCCTTGTGCATTGGTTTGCCCCTGTTGATAAATATCTCTCAATATCCTGCTTGCCTTATTTTTTTTAGCTTGATATTGTTTTATTGGAATTACCATAAAGGAGTTGGATATTTGAATATGTTCAAACTTCAAGATATAGATAATGTGACACCTTGAACTGTATTAGATGCTTTCATATTTCTGTGCAAGTTCCAAAGATTTGTTGCTTAGTTAAAGTACTTCTGCACTTCCAGTAGCTGTATACTTTATTCAGCATTACTATGACAAGGTTATAAGGTACAGTACTAGAAGACATCAATCTACTTATTCCGATTCACTTGAGGAAGACAAATGATTTGGGAAGTGTTTGTGTAGGTTCCATCAGGGGAAGTACTAAAATTCGGTGATGATAACTTCATCATGTTGGAAGAGGTTGGCGTTAGAGAAGCAAGAAAGGCTGCATTTGTCCTTGTTGCAGGTGGGCTTGGGGAACGTCTTGGGTACAAGGGAATAAAGGTAAGAATGATGCTCCTCTTATGAACAGATTATTAATTGCCTTCAAATGACCCGATTAGCAATGCTGATTATTTGGTCATAAGATTTAATGAATATATATCTTCTACATTAGCATGACTACATGATTTTATAAATACATGATAATGAATATCTATGAGTGTGGACTCCCTTGTGGTAGACATAGCCAAATACTTATGTTAAATATACAGGTCTCTCTTCTTGCACAGCCAATAAAGTGATTGGTGGTCTGCCACCTGTCACCTATCAGTAATTTGCAAGCTCAGATGCATTTTAAAATTGGCAGATGTTTTATGACCACATGTGCTGCTAAATTCAATTTATACTTACTGAGTGTAACACACAAGCATTACCAGCATATTATATGAATTCTTTGCTCATTGCTCTTTCAATTCTGTTGGTTACAGATCAGGATAAATGGAATAAGATATCAAGCGAGATCAACCTTTTCAGACTGTGATGACTATGGGCAAATTTGAAATATTATCTAATGTGAACGAAAGAATGATAATGAATTTATTAACATGTAATCAGCCATTTGTGATTTGTGGCTACTTCTATTTAGTTAGTTACTTCTTTATGCTATTGTTTGACATTTTCAAAATGATTTTTTAATCAAGGCAAGAACAAGGTCACATTAAAGGTAGGGCTATACCACATTATGGTGACATGTTTTAATGTTTGCACATTCATATCTATTTAAGCTTCTCTAGTAGTTGGCCCAAAGTTGACCTTTACAGCAATAGCTAAATCTGATTTATAGTTAGCCATTAGCCAGTTTCCTTAATATGCTATTATAAAAAGTGTAAGTGTTTTCCTTGATTTAATATACTTGATACTGTATGCATTTTTGCTTTTGAAGAGAGCTTCTAAGATTGTATTTTTGCGAGTTTAAATCTCTAAAGAGTGCCTGATTTTCTATTGCAGTTGTCTCTACCTGTAGAAACCACTACTGGCAGATGCTTCATTCAACATTATATAGAATCCATTCTAGCATTGCAGGAGGCTAGTTCTAGACAAGCACAAGGTTTGCACATGTATTTGTTCTTTGGAAACATTAGCACCGCAGATTATTATTTTGTTCGAGAAGACCTAGAATTCAAAGTGCATTTTCGTGTTCTAAGAAAAGATGGAAATTATTGTTTAAAATTTGAAACATGTTCCATCAGGAGTCTCATCGAGGTTTTGCTTAGGATATTAGAATGTGTGGTCTGTTCACTATGAATTTTCTGAAGCTGCTCTGCATGCATGATTCAGGACAGGGTCATTCTTTCATATTTTGGCTTTCATTTATCTTTTTGCATCTATTTTTGTAACTCTACTCAGACACTATTGGCCCTTGGGCCTCAGGTATCTTATATTGCTGTGGAACATTTACAGCAAACTAGTGATTATTTCTATTGGCGACATACATGACATGTTTGCCAAAATTTTGGCATAGAAACTTGGCTTATTGTAAGACAATAATATCTCCTAATATATGGTTTTTGACTCTCATCTTTCATTCCTTGGAACCTTGATGCGATAAAATACCAAAATGGTAATGTTTTTTAACTAGAGCTTGTGCTGAAGTCAATCCTTTATAACCTGATTGTTATTCTCTATTTGATAAGATTTTTTTGAAGTATTCTATTTTGACATTGTTAAAATCTTTGTAAGTGTTCACTTGTCACTCGTACTGAGTTAACTAATAGGATTTTTTAAAATATATCAATAAAGGTTGCGTAATTTGAGAGTAATTACAACTTTTGGTATGTAAACGTTGCACACACACACACACACACACACATATTCTCTAACTGGACTGTTATACGCATGCTGCAGCTTACTCTTGGTACTGATAATTTTTGTAGGTCAATGTAAAGCTGAGATTCCTTTGGTGATAATGACATCTGATGACACTCATTCACCAACAGTAGATCTACTGGAGTCTAATAATTACTTTGGAATGAAATCCACACAAGTGACACTTCTGAAGCAGGTGGTTATCAAGCAGCTCTTTTGGTTAATTGGATATTGTCAAAGCTTCTTAGATTATATGGTTGACAGTGCTATTTACATTCATTTTAGGAAAAAGTAGCATGCCTAGATGATAATGATGCAAGATTAGCATTTGATCCTAATGACAAATACAAAATACAGGTAATTTTTGTATTTCGCTCGGAAGTTCACTCTTTCATTGAATGAAATCTAGTTCTTGGTGGTTTTTCCTCATTACCTCTACTTTTGATGATTAACCAGACAAAGCCTCATGGTCATGGCGATGTGCATGCACTACTTTATTCTAGTGGTATTCTGGAAATATGGTGTGTAATTCACTCAGTTACATGAATATTGCATCTCTCTCTCTTTCCTCTCTCTACTCATACTCTGCTGGTAGTCTCTTATGGACCAAAGATGAAGTTGTTCATGCTCATAACATCCACACAAATGTTTTCTGTTTCTCAGGAGGACGGCAGGCAAAAAATGGGTTCTGTTCTTCCAAGATACTAATGGATTACTCTTTAAGGTTGATTTCTGCGGACTCCTTGCACAAATTTGAATTTCACTTACTGTATGTCTTGCTATTTCAAAAAATGATGGTTTCTGTTCCCTTCGCTATTGCTGATTAGGCAATTCCAGCTTCTCTTGGTGTTAGTGCTACAAAGGGATACCATGTTAATTCTCTCGCTGTTCCTAGGAAGGCAAAAGAAGCTATTGGAGGAATAACAAAGCTTACTCACACTGATGGTAATTCAATCCCTTATGTTCACTGAGGAAAAACAAAGCTTACTCCAGCTTACTCATGCTGGTTTGAGAAAAAAACAGATTATTTATCTTATATTGTCTTTTGTTTTTTCCTAAATATTTTTAGAACTGTGCTATATAGTATGTTACTTTGGTGTCTATTTCTTTTCCATGGTTATTGCTTCTGAGCTCCTGATCATATGTTGACATTGAACTTTCAGTTTTGTTTGTATTTGCTTAGTCTTGGTAAAGCTGATAGTGCTTTCATTTAGTTTAACGGTTTCAAGTTTATGATAGTTTACTTCACCATTTCATGTGTATGTTGTCATATTGTTATTATCTAATCTCCAAAGCTTATATACTTACTAATTGAATAATATATTGTTTTAGGGAGGAGTATGGTTATTAATGTGGAATATAATCAGCTGGACCCATTACTTCGAGCAACTGGACATCCTGATGGAGATGTGAATTGTGATACAGGATTTTCTCCCTTTCCTGGAAACATAAATCAGGTGCACATCTATTCATTTATGAAATGTTTAATGCTATCTGATGCGATGGGGAATCAATACGGTGGTAAAAAGGGTGTAATGGCTGGCATTGTAGAAGATAAGTGCTGTTGGGTTGGGGAAACAGAGAGGAAAAGTAGCAGGAAGATGGTGACCAAAATATTTTAGGCCTCCTGTCCATGAAGAAAAGCATATTTTAATTAAGTTTATTAGATAGAACTTCAATTACAAGCTATATGTTTACCTAAATCTTAACTAAATTAGGCCTTATAAAGAAAAGTTATGGATACAACGTAACTTTCACAAAATTCCTTGAAAAGAGACCTCTATATCTTTGTGAACTCTAAGTCCTGATGACTTAAAAATTAACTCTCACTGGAATCAAGTTTATCCTTGTTCTATAACCAAAATACAGAGTGGATTACATCATAATTAGTTTGGGCTACATCAAATGACACTCAATTGTGCCACTTGAACCCTTCAGAACCAGAATTGCCTAAAATGAATGTTGGCAGTGATCTGATATGGTTATGCCAATATTATAATTTCAAAACCCAGATACTGACTCTAGTTTTAGTTGCAGTTATCTCAACTATTTCCAACATACGCTGGTAGATTGATGCAGACCAGAAGTGAGATTCCATAGATCTGAAAGTGACAAGCATAGGTTGCTTGAACACCAAAGTTATATGATAGTTGAGATATGAGTTCATTCAAGGAAATTATTTGATTGTGTATATTTTTCCTCATGTATTCATATCAGATGATTGTGTTTTTTCGTTCAGTTGGTACTGATATTAGATATCTGTCAGAAGTATATTGGTATTTCATGGGTGAAAAATTTACTGCAGATAGATATTGATTTTATTTGTATCTCATTTTTGAGTCCACATAAATATCTTTTGTTAATTTTTTTTGCAATTTGACTCTGCACTTCAAGTTCAATTAGCATCCAGGTCCAACTGGATCGAATAATAATATACACATGTAAAGTAATTTTGGAGGAATTTTGAAGCAATAAGATTACTCATATGAGATGCATTAACATTGATGGTTAAACAAACTCAGAAGACATTATAGTTTGCTGCTGCTTAGTTATTAAGGCCAGTCCAGATATTGACCCAGTTAAGTCTTGGGTCATTATTCAATCAATATTCAATATTATCTTTAACTAACTGATATATAAAGTGTATATATTGCATGCATTAACATATTTGATATTTCCATGCATGAGATGTTAGATTCTACATAATTTTACAATACACATGGCTATTTCATTGCCTGTCCACTAGTCTAGGGACCCAGGCAGCACATCTTCTGGCAACAATGTGTTTTAGGAATTAATTATAATTAATAATTGATCCATTTTAACCGTTCAGTTCTTCTATGGCAATAACATATTATACCTACTCTTATGGTTGCACCATTTTATTCCTTAACATTGTGCTATCTTACTATGCACTTTATCAACAATCAAAATCAGCTATTATTTTGAAATGCAAAATTGAAAATAGTAGGATTTATTTGATATCTTTTCTGCAGCTGATTTTGGAACTAGAGCCATATTTTGAGGAACTTAGCAAAACACAAGGCGCTATTTCAGAATTTGTTAATCCAAAGTAAGTAATTTTTCTTGTTCTTTGCCAAAAATTGGTATAATCTTGTGAAGAATACTATTAGTGAAAGAATGCAACATTGATGCATCATTACACTTGATGGGAGAATCCTCTAAGGGTGAATATGATATCTATTAGCCATTTCTATATTGTGTTTTCTTTTTGAAAAAGATGATTATAAATTGATATTCTTACTTTCTTATCATGTCTAACTGTAAATGTGAAGTTTTCTGTTGTGGACCTCATGTTTTTTCATCAAAGCTAAAACTTACAAAATCTAACTTAGCAGGAACATGTAAAGCAAGGAAACTCTTTTTGGTAGTACGTGGTTTGCTGAGTGCTGACACCTAGTGGCTAGTGATACACCTTCCGAGCACTATGTGTTGATTCGGCATGTCAATGTGTGCTAAATGTAGAATAACAAACCATTTATTTCTGGACAAGCGGAATCATATTTATAGATATCACCTTTCCTAATTTAATAAATCTATTTTCTAATTATAGCAGTATAAACATATTTAACATGGCTGACATATTCTGCTGTATACTTCATTTGGGCTATAAGCTTCCTTGGCCAACTTCATAGAGGGGATTCTTTTAGGAGAACTGCTAATGCCTGTCATCCTAACAACTGACAATCACATCATTTGTATAAAATTTGGTACCCTTGAAATTCTTCCTGCTGAACATAGACTAAACTTGTCACCCAGTTACATGATGTCATGCTCTATGTTAACAGATAGGGAGATAACTAAATTGTTACTATTCGGATTTTCAAAACATGTTTATTTATCTCCAATAAAAAGTAGAAATAATGGAAAGGTATGAAAAGACGCCATATATTAAAAATCAAAACCTAATTAATATACCAATATGGCTAAACTAAGACATAATGACTGTACAGCATGCATCTGACATGTCTTTCAGTGGATTTCTTTTTTCATTTATAAAACATGTTAATAATTAATTGTAGTTTGCTTGTTTTTCAGATACAAGGATTCCACAAAGACATCCTTTAAATCTTCAACTAGATTGGAGTGCATGATGCAAGATTATCCAAAAACTTTATCTCCATCAGCAAGGGTTGGTTTCACAGTAAGTGAATATTACTTTACATTTTGAAGATTTTTGAACATTTACTCATGAACCAAATATGGTGAAGGCTGGGGTTCACCGAATTGATATAATATTTTGCTTCCAATCTTTTGATACTGTTGTTAAATTCCTCAGAATTTATCACAATTTCTGCTTTGAGCTCATAAAACATGGTTTGCACCCTGTTTCCATCTTTCTTTTTTGAAAAATGAAAATTACATTTAGAATGGATGGCTTTCATCTTTTGCAAGATGGTTGTGAATCTAGGAGCCACATTCCGAACCATCTTGGATCCTATTGAAGATTGATTGTGGAAATTGTTGGTGCATATATCATCATACTTGCTCTGATACTGAATCATTAGGAATTACTTCCTTTACTGATGCTTCTTCAGTTCAAGAAGTGAAGAAGCCTTTCAAAGAAAATTAAAAGAGAATGGCCTAGTTTAAACTTTAAAGTAATGTTAATTTAACCTGATTAGCAATCTATAAATTAACCAAAATTTATAATGGCCTTATTTAAAGTAGTGTTAAGCCTTCCAAATAATGGCCTTCGTTATCACTCAAAATTTAGTAAAATTAATGAAGTGATGTTGAAGGTCACTCACAATTGGTCTTATTTATAGATTGCTATTTTCCCAGTGTTAATTACAAAAGGCCAAGATTGAATGTTGACCAAAAATACCTTTGGATATATGTGCTGTTCTTTTTCTGAAGGTATCTCTGGTGTAAGGCTGGCATAGGGTTAGTGTTGATTATGCTGGTAGCTGGTTAGCAGGTATCGTTTCAGCTTGTTGCTAGTACACTGCCATATGGCAGATTTGAAATCTTTTATGGAGCTCTTTTGATTGGAGGTATGCATAATTGATTGGAAAAGGCACATATTTTGGTTTACCTTATATTGTAAACAGATCTCTGAAAATTGAGGTAGTAGCTTAGGCTTGAATAATTATTCAATCTCTTTTTGGTTCCCAAGTTGGCTATTTCTTTTCGTTTAAGTAGCATTGGAATTAAAACTTTTAGTGGATACTAAATGTTAGTTCTTGTGCTTCTGATGGATACATGAAAATGATAAAATTTTTACAATCTGAGTTCATTGAACTTACTGAAAATAACTTATTGTAGCAATGGTCTTCTAATGTCATAGGTGATGGATACATGGTTTGCTTATTCCCCAGTGAAGAATAACCCTGAAGATGCTGCTAAGGTAAAATATTTTTGTATTGCTTTCTTTTTTCGGTTGCAGATACTGCAAATAATACTAGTTTGTTCATACTTCTTCACAGTGTTGCTGAATGGCTTGGTTAATCAAACTAAGAGAGTACATGAAGAAGCACTTAAATTGAGTTTTTATTTAACTCACATGGGGAGCAACTAACTTGATACATTTCGAATCTCTTAAGTTATTATGAAAATTGGTAAACACATTGTTTATTGTTACTCTTTTTCCAAGAAATTCACCAAACAATAAGGAGAAATTGACAATAAAAAGTTCTGTCGGCTGCAAAAATGGTAATAGTGTGTGACTTTGGGGGTGATTGAAGAGGGAAAGTGTTAACATATAAGCTTATTATTCAGTGCAGTATATACTGTGATTTCCCTAATCCAAACAAATCTAAGTTTCTAATTTTCAGTTCTCTCTATACGAGATCTTTTCAGAAAAAATTTTTAGCAAGATTTTTAATAATGCCTATTCATATTCTAATCTCATTGCTGCATATCGATCAATATGGAGCCAGAGAGTATGCCTCTGCATACTGGTAAAAGAAATTTTAAGAATAAAATGTTTGTATGATAATATCAAAGGGTCACTATACTAAGCAAGGTTTGCCATACCGAATCGTACCGCCCGGTACGGGCGGTACGTACCGGTCCGACAGGCCAGCAGTACGCAGATCGCCATGTATCGGTCCGCACTGTAGCAGTGCTACAGTGCTTAATGCACCTGGGTGTACTGTTCGGTACACCGTACCGTACAGGTACCGAGCCCAGGTCGAAATACCGGTATGGTACGGTATTACTAACCTTGATACTAAGTATGGTGGAAAATTGAAACAATGGAGTAAAAATTGGTAGAGTTGATTATAATTTGGTTTCAAGCATGATTTAAAATCTTGGATTCAGGGTTTATCAGTTACCTGTAAATGTGATTGGTAATGGGTTATTTGGGATCAGGTTCCTCTGTTATCGATCCTTCCCTGGGCCTGTAATTCTCCACTGCCTTATGCATTTGTTATTGATGATTATCTATTTTCTCTATGGATACTTATGTATATTGTGGATGTTTTCCGGAAGGGAATGCAAGACTTCCGGCTTCTGATTGCTTAAGAGCCACATATCAGATGCCCTTGTCTGCTCTCTTGTTAGCAGCGAAATTATACTCTTTTAGTATTTTGTTGTTAATTTCAATGTTGTGCATTCTGTTTATCTTGCATTTGAGACTTTCCACAATGATTAGTATTTATCGTTCCCTTGTAGGTGCCAAAGGGAAATCCATATCACAGTGCAACCAGTGGAGAGATGGCTATTTATAGGGCTAACAGCCTCATTCTCAAAAAGGTTACATTTATTTCTTAAATATTTTAATATATCTAATTACAAAAAGAGAACGTTTATGATACTTGGTAGTGTACCACACAATGCTGCATGAAGCTAGAGTGTACATAGGATTTTTTTTTAGAATTCAGTTTTTGTTTAAATGTGAGATACAGTAAAACATTGGAATGGTTTGCTAAGAAGACCTAAATTCTGAAACAGGGATTGACCTGTTGATTCATTTGATCTCAGATCCATGTTTCTAAGTGATTACTATATTTGTCAGGCTGGAATCCAGATGTCCGATCCTATCACTGATGTCTTCAATGGACAAGAGGTGGAGGTGTGGCCTCGTATAACATGGAGCCCAAAATGGGCAGTAACATTTAGTGATGTCAAAAGAAAAGTTGAAGCGGGATGCTCTGTATCACAAATATCTACCCTTGTCATCAATGGCCAAAATGTATTCCTTGATTCCCTGTCCTTGGATGGAACCCTCATTGTAAATGCCATCGACGAAGCAGAGGTATTTTAGCTAGTCTTATCGAAGAACTTTTCTTTTATCATGGGTTTCATGTCTTCATTTGATATAGTCTGTCACTCCGGATATCGATTGAGATCCTTATCGTAAAAAAAAAAAAAAAATCAGTTTTGAGAAACTTTATTTAAAATTTGTGGTTGATTGAAAGATAAGACTCATTTGCTTCTTGCAGGTGAAAGTGACTGGTTCTGTTCAAAACAAAGGATGGGTTCTTGAGCACATTGATTACAAAGATACCTCCATCCCCGAGAAAACTAGAATAAGAGGCTTTAGAATTCAGAAGATTGAGCAGCTAGAGCTGAACTATACTGAACCAGGAAATTTCTGCTTCAAATCATGAACAAGGTTCTGACTTTGCCAGGCATGACCAAATATTTATGTAACAAATATTTATTCATTTGTTAGCTGGAATAATCGGCACATTCTGTGTCCTCTTTTCCATTTTTTATTTTTGAAAAATAAGTACAGAAGGTGAACTTTTCACTACAGAAAATCTAATACTGTGACCCACTGACCAGTGACAATTATGTTCAACTTAGTTGTTCTCCATATATAATCTTAAGTCTTGATCTCTTTACCTTTTCTAAGCTTCTTTGAGGTGAATTAATGGCTAATCGCTTGTTATGCAACAGATGGATGTAAGCCTTGTCATGCAATTATATTGTTCTGCAAGATTGTCAAGTAACCTTTATTGAAGGAAACTAATTAAAATACTGGTTCTTGCGGTGGCAGCCAGCATTGAAGATATGTGGTAAACAGACTTAAATGTCTCTACTTTTTCAATGAGTAACAAGATCAAATTTCTCTAACATTTTTACTGAAATTTCATTTAATATTTTAATCTCATATTTGGAAATTAAAACTTTGTGAGATCCACATATATATATATATATATATATATATATATATATATATATATATATATATATATATATATATATATATATTCCATTAATTACCTCTTCCATGATGATATCAAGGGGGAGTAAAAGTATAAAGCTTTTCAAGTTAAAAAGGCGGGCTGGAAGACACTGCGCCATGTGGACGTCGAGGGATACGAAAGACACTGTTGGAAGTGAAATGAGAATGGCCGCCAGGCACGACTAGGGGCTCGATTGATCGCACGAGTCCTGAAGCGTTCTACCGGTCGCGAATGAGTCGTTAATCGAGTCGCATCACAATGCCACTCCGCCGTTTGTTTGGGCGTTCAATTTCCTGGGGGAAGAACAAGTCGCTGCGTGCCATGCTCTCTCCCGCTTCCCGCTTTGGTCTTCGATCGTCAGGTCCCCATGTCCTTGTGTATTCTCCATCTCGATGCATTGCTTTTGGTTGAAAACATCACGAGTTTGGTTCCGCGTTTCGATTGCTTATGCCCTTCGCTTGCCAAATAAAAGATCCCTTCATCATCAAATCAGTGTATTCTCTTATTCGTCAATCTCTTCATGGCAAGAATGGTACATTTTGCTGGCTTTAATCTTTCTTATGCAATTCTTTCTTGTTTGACTTCACTTTTGTCCTCATGAGTAGATGTTAAATCTTGTAATGAAGCCTTTCCCGACTACCTGGGACAAAGCCCTAACTTGTTAGCCTATCATTAGAGGGGATTGATGGCCGTTTTTCGTCTTTTTGACACCCTTCAGTCCCTTCCTAATCGATGTTGAATTTTCTTTTCCTTTCAAATCTTCACTTTTCATCTTTTTAGAAGCCTTTCTCTAATACCTAGTTTTTGAGGCTTTATTTAGATTATGATTGATCTACATGAGCGCAAGGGCCAAGAAACAAAACTCCTCCTCTTCCGTTGTATAGCTTCTTCACTTATTTATTGTTTTTGAGTTTGTCAATTTTATTCTCTTCTCAACAAATATGTTTATCACTTGCCTCTTGTTTGCAGACATGGGAACGGCTGCTGATAGAACACAGTTTGATGCTCATCAATTTGATGCGAAGCCAGATGAGCTGTATGTTACTTGCTTCTTAATTGTCATCTTTAAGTTTTTTTGTAATGTACTTGATAATCGGCATATGCTCAGTATATGTTTTTTATTCTCTTTTTATTTGTTTTGTCATGGTTATATCTGGTTTTGACTTGATATGTTGATATAGGTTAGCAGTACATGGACAAGACCTTCAGTTCTTATTATGAGGTTCATGAGAGTTTTGAAGCTATGGGACTTCAATAAAGATCTTCTTAGAGGCATATTTGATTCTTTAATTTTGCCTTTTTCTAATATTATCTGGTGCTGTGCATAGCTTAGGACACTGATATGTCATGTTTCTTTGTTTACTACCAGTGGCTTTAAGAATCCTTCTGCAATTCAACAAAGAGGAATTGTTTCCTTCTGTAAGGAACTTGATGTTATTCAGCAAGCACAGGCAGGGCCTGGAATGACTGTAGCTTTATGTTCTGGAATTTTACAACGGCTTGTGTATAGTTTCCTTGAGTGTCAGGCTTTGGTTCTTTCTCCAACTAGAAAAGGAGCACAGAAAATTGAAAAGATGTTGGGAGCACTGGGATGCTATCTGGGTGTGAAGGTTTATGCTGCTACTGGAGCAACTAGTGTTTGTGAGCATCAACAAGATTTTTCAAATGGCTTCCATGTCATTGTGGGTACTCCAGGTTGCATTCTTGACATGTTACTGCTCCTCCCTAGCTTCCTTAGGATGTTTGGGTTGGGTCATGCAGATGTGATGCTGGATCAGGTTCTCTTTTGGCCTAACATAAAATTGTGTTTGTTGCTATTTCTTCTGTTCTTATATTAGGATTTTGAACTATAAAATCTTTTTTGTGACAAAGATGTTTGCATGGCTACTGAGGTGGTTGTTGACTGGTTTGCCGACCAAGGGGCCTTCTTTCTTTCTTTCTGTTGATGGCAACTGTTGTATTTGATATTTGATTACCTGTCTTCAAACCTTTTGTGGTGATTGTCCTTTCTTTCTGTTCTTATGTGCATTTCGAATCTCTTTAGTTGGATTTGGATGTATACCATTTTTCCTTGCACACACAGTAGACCAAAATTGACATGAAATTTCACCGTACAACTATGGTTGCATGTCCATGACAGAGATATGATTGAAGCCATATGCTTAACGTACAGCCATAAGGATCCATCATATGCTCCATCTCTGTTGGGGACTTGTGTTCCCATTTATTTGATGTAGATTTTGATTGCCAAAGCATGCTTAAGTTTATTGATAACAATCATAATCTGTGGTTGCAGGTTTTTGACATCTTCAAACGTCTTCCTTCAAGGATTCAGGTTGGGCCCTTTTCTGCTACAACTAACGTTGCTTTATCTTCTTTATTGCAGTTCATGACTTATGAAAATGATAATTTGCTAGGAATAAACAGTTGAAACTTTCTTCAGGTCAAGAAAGTATTCCAGCTTCTTCCATCCAAGTTACAGGTTGGGCTTTCTCTGCTACAATGCCGTAAGATTCAGTATAAACCCGTAAGGATTCTTCTGAAGCAAGATGAGCACATCGGCAAACATATTAAGCAGTTCTACGTTGATGTGGAGGAAGAAATGAAGTTGGAGTCCCTGGTCAATCTCCATGATGCTTCGGCCACCACTGAAAGCATCATCGTCTTTGTTACAGCAAACACAAAGCTCTCCCTGACTGACAATATTAGGACATGGCTCAGAACAAATGGGATGCGCTCATGCATGAACTCGAATCAGGTTGTTCTCGTGTTCTTGTCGCCACCGATCATAAATTATGATCTGCCAGCTCGTGCCAGAAGAAGTGTATGTTTTGGCAGGAGGAAGAATGCTGTATGACAAAGAGGATGTGTTCATGAACTCTCTCTCTTCTACTTATGCGTTTGTAAGGTATTTATGTCCTTTCCTCCTTGTATAGATTCAATTAGTTGCAATATTTTGGTTTATTATTGTTATTAACATATTGAGAGCATGAAATCTCATCTTACAAATTCAAAAGGGCGACTGCAAAATAGTTTTTGTAAAAATTAAAGCATGATGGGTCAGATTCTAATGAAAAATAAAAATCTTTTTATATTCTTTTTTCTTTGAAAAAAAGAGAAAAATCTCTGCATATTTTTTATTTAAAAATTCTAATTTTTTCTTTTGCATAATTTATAAAACAATTAATTCTAATAGTCATTTTTGAATCTTTTCCCTACAATGAAATGAAAGGTCTTAACGTAGAAAGCAATTACAAAAGAATGGGTTTGGGTTGTGGGTTAGGGTTGTTAACCTTTTAAGATCTACGCACGTGATTTGATTTAATCTGAGCCAATAACTCTTCCATTCCAATCATAATCTCCCTTCCTCACGAGCTCACCGTTGATAAATACCCAACCGACTCACGGTACATCCTCCCTCCTCTTCCCCGCCGCTCTCTTCCTCACCCACGTCGCGAAAGAGAAGAGAAGGAACTCTTGATGGGGGCGTCGAGGCTGGTGATAGCTTCGATCGTGTTCTTCCTCCTTGTCGCCGGAGTTTGGGCGGAAGAAGCAGCGATCGGCGATGGGATCGTGGAACCTGAGCCATCCGATTCCGCGTTGAAGCGGGAATTGGAGCTGCTCAGATCGAAGATCCAGGACTTAGGTCAGTCCGGAATGGATCTCGGTTCTTTCCCGTATAGGGCCGTTGATCCGGTTCTCGGTCGCGCTTTGTTCCAACTTTGCATCCCGGTGGCGTTTCTTTTGTGCTTTCTCTCGACTAGGTTGCTAATCATTATAAATCAAAACACGAACTTTCTCTCCTAGATAATATGTGGTAGCATGGTGATAATCAGGTTTGATATGATGACTGCTGCATCAAAACACTAATTTTTCTCTCCTAGATAATATGTGGAAACATAGTGATAATTAAGTTTGATATGACGATCGCTGCCAGAATTTTGATCCTCATGGAGGAAATATAGTAATCATGAATTTTACCCTTTTTTTGGTGTCATATATTAGAGATAACGCCACCTTTTGAATCTAGGAACTGGAGATGAGCAATTTTTGTGTGTATTCGTTATTGCATGCTATGATGTTTTATTTGTACAATAATGGCAATATACAATTTATCCACATTAGTTTCTCACTAATGATTTTTTTTCTGTTTTGGTGATCTTTACTTTAGAGATTGGTATCTCCGATAGGACCCGTGAACTAAATAATAGAGATGACCGCATCAAAAATCTGGAGAAGATTATCCAAGAGAAGTCAGCAACAATTTCCACATTGAATGGTCAAATCGAATCGCTCCAGGTTAACTTTATATGGATGATAGTGTTCTCTCATATGGATTGCCGGATCTTCATGTTGTATTTTCTTCTTTTGCCTTTTCAGAAAAAGGGTGCTCTTGATGCTGAAGAGTTATTAGGGAAAGCATATACTCGAGCTGCTGGACTTGAGAAGCAGGTATGACAGTAGACTAGTTATGTATAACACTTTAAACTGCTGTACTTGTGACACACACCTACCCTGGGCAGGTTGACAATCTCAGAAATGAGCTTGAAACACAGAGCAATAACAGAGGTGCTTTGGAGGCTCGAGCTAGTGAAGCAGAGAAAAAAGTGCGAGAACTGATTTTGAAACTAGAAAATGTAAGTATTTCAAAGTTTCATGCTATTACTTTATGCTTGTGTCATATGCTTGGTACATATCTACATGTCGCTGTTTGTGTTACAATTTTTATCTAATGCAGCATATTTTAATTAGTGTTGTCATTTGTTAGCAATTGAAAATTTGACATGAAGCAAGCACTACACTTGTAATGCCTAAGCTATATTGGAGAAGATATGTTGCTGTTATATACATATATATTACAAATTTTAGATTGTGTTACAACTGCAAACAACTCTTTGTTTTACTATTTCTGTACTTGAAAATATTCATGCACCAACACTTTTGAACTCATTCTAAAGTGTAGCTGCTGACAACTCATCGTAAAACATATTAATGTGGGTGGTCACTGTATATCAGATGTTCTGGGAGTAAAATTGGTTCAAGGGTATGTGCTAATGTGCTAGCTTGGTAATCTACAATCTAGGGAACACTTACAGAGTGGACAATTAGGGCCGTCTGAGATGATGATAGACACAATAAGAGAGAATTAACATAATATTTTTTTCATGCAAAATTTGTCCATAGGGAATTAATCTAGAGAATGGAGAATACTATATATATATATATATATATATATATATATATATATACATATATATACATATATACATATATATATTATATATATATATGTATATATATTTATATGTATATATATATATATATACTTTATTTACGTCATTGAAAATCCTAATATGTGGTAAAAATTGATTGTAGAGGAAGATTTGGGATTTGGTATTTGTTATTGAGATTAGAAGAGTTGGCTCTGGAATCATGGTTCTTAAGTTTGTCCTTGGAATCTGATTAGCAGATTATATCAAATGGAAGCTCGGAAATATGCATGAGAATAAGATATCACATAAAGGAAATTACTTTTACCTACCACATTGGAAAGTATCTATCAAAAAACATCTTGAAACATGGAGCACACAAAGAAAAGAACATAGATGACATGGTTGTCAACTTTGACATGACTAATGATAGTACTTGCCATACTTCAGGTGAACAGATGAATCTGATTACATATAAGAACATACTGCTTATTGTCATTTGGTTTTTCCCTTTAGAGGTTGGATAAAATAGCTTTAGTAACACTAGGCATAGGAATGAAAATGGAAAAAAAAAAGAAGATTGAAAAGTATTCAACAACTGAGTGGTGGAATTTGAAAGGTGAAGAGACAGAGAGAGTTGGTTGTGAATTGGATAAAATTAGTAACAGATTATGTATGAGGAATAATAATATTCTATTTCGAGACTGCCAAGCTAACTGTGTGAATGGTTGTTTGTTGATCTAATATTTATTGTAGGATTTGCATCAAGGTTTTTAATTTCGTACCGTACCGATGTATGGTGTACCAAGGCATACCGCTTAGTATATGTATTTTTATATACATATGTTTATATACATATGTATATAAAAATATGTTTATATACGTATGTTTACTCATAAACATATGTATTTTTATATGTTTCTGAGTAATAATTACTAAAAAAATTATTTATAAAAATATCCCCTTTCCATCTCGAGAGACGGAAAGGGGGTGATGGCGGGGCAGGCGAGGATGCGACGCGTCACCTCCTTCCCCAACTCGAACTCATCTCCCGTGAGGCACTCCGTAATGCTCCCACGACAGCCGGATCCAGTGGGGATCTAGCCTAGGGCGAGCTCATCTCTCGCTCTCCCGTCGCTGCCACCCTCAGCGACTGTGAGGAAGAAGACCAAGATAACAACGAGAGCGAGAAGAGGAAGCAGCAGTCCTACTTGGGCTAGGATCCCTTCCTTCGTCGTCGACCGCGACCTCCCCATCCACAGCGACTATGATCCCTCACCCCCTACCACATTTCGCCCGATGGAGCGAGGACCCGCCCCCTACAGCGTTTTGCCTGATGAAGCAAGGACCTGCCCCCTATTGTGTTTCGCTCGACAGAGCGCTTCTTCGTGTCCTGCCACGTCCAACCCTCTTCTCTGTCAAGCCTTTTTCGTCCAACGAGCGTCGCAACCTTGTCTTCCTCGCCGTCATGCTCTTCGTTCTTTCCGTTAACTGATACCACCTGGTAGTGAGCGGTTCGCATATCGGTCAGCTGGCGGTCCGATACGTATCGCTAGGTACAGGTGGTACAATTCGAAATTTAAAACCTCGATTTGCATAAAATTCTTATTGTTACTTAACAAATGTTACGAAACTTGTTGCTTGTATGGTCTCATCCTGTTTTTGATAACATGTTTTACCACTGCTTAATCAGGATCAAACAGTACACATCATTTACTTGTTTGGTGGGGTTTCCCTGGGACCCTTGAGTTAGTAAAGTATTTTACTCGCTTGGCATCTTTGAAGAAACCATATCATGTTACTTGCCAAACATTAAGAATGTTGAGCTGACCCGATAACCAATTGACCTAAGAAGAACATACTAAATATGCAATCTGTCACCATGTCTAGTACTCGAAACATCATTTTTTTCTCTTTATTTTTTCAATTGTGATACTTGCCATGGCACATGCAAGATGTTTCCTAGTGGTATCAAGGCATAACTGTGCCTTTTATGCATTATGTCCAGGTGTCCTGTTTTGGTGTATCCGTGCTTTTGGAACCAGATTTGTTTTTTTGCGACGCAAGTAACCCACCTATCTTCATATTACAGTATGTCACTAGAATCTTTGCTGCAAAGCCAGAGGCCAGAATGGGGATAAGGTTAGCAACACGACACAAAGCCTGTGAAACCATGATTGGGAAATCTACTTTGTGACTCTTTAAGACATGGGGGTCTGGATGAGTCTTATATGACAATGGAAATGGAGAAGGTGCCTGAGCAATAAAAAAAATGTGGTTACTGGTTTGACGTATTGGATTCTCTTGGCTTTCATTGGCAGTTTGGTCCTATACATGTGACCATATATTCTATAGAGGAAAGCTGCTTATAAAGAAAAGAAAACTGATTTTGACTTGAAATTTAATATTGAGCATTTTACTCTAGTATCGAGATGTACCAAGCCTTTTCTTTTGGCTTTCTACCTGAGGAAGTCACACACACAGACTCTTATTTTAATTGATAAAAAATACCACTTTTTGTTTATCTCAGAAAGTGATTGTGTCTTCCATACTTCTTAGTCTGAAAATTTTAATGGACCTGATATTCTCAAATCCTAGAGTTTATATTGGCTGCTAGTATAAGTTCTTCCCTTTATATGTGTAGCTCGAGAAGACAAATGATGAGCAAAAGCACCTAATTAGG